GAAACAATCAGTAACCGACGAGGGCGACAGGAGCTCAGCGCTACGTTCGACGGCGGTAATCTACCATCGAGTGTAATGCTGGGAAAGATTGAGGCGAAGGATACATCCGGAAGGACTTACTTCACCAGCCCTTTCAGCAGATTGTAGGTTTCGAGCAGGTTGTCGACGTTCACGTCGCGGAGAAAGGTGAAATACAGCTTCATGAAGGTCGGAAACGCGGTCCATGAGCTGCCGTTCTTGGTGCGCGGGACGAGCCCTTCGCATCGGCGCAGGAGATCAGCCTCCTTCGGTCCATTGGGGTATTGTCGCCGCAACTCCTCGACCATCTGCCGGTAAATGTCGGACAACGGAGGTTCGATCTGTAGGAAGTCCTGGAGCTTCGAGCCGTCGCGATTGCGAATTATCTCTGAGATCCCCGACAGGAATCTGTCCAGGACCGGAGCACCTGGCGTGGCCATTTTTGCGAACGGGTTCAAGGGAAATGGTTGGGCGGATAGCGTCAAGGAATGAAGGCTCGTGGGAGAATGAAAGCCGTCATGGGCGTTGGAGTTCGCACGACGGGTGGAGGAAGAGGCGTTAGCGATAGTCGCACATGGTTACCGGAATTCGAGATTTCGTCAGCGAGTACGACCAACCAGGTGGAATTGGTCGGTGGAGGTTCAGTCGACATTGAAGATGACATTATCGTTGGCAAGTTCTGGTGGATGCGACTGCCCTAGACCGCGCTAGACCCTATCGGGGCAAGTCACGTGATGGATGGGAATCCCATTCTCTTGGGGTTACAGAGAACACAGTATTTGACCCGTATCATGTACCACACACCGACGCAGTACTCGTATTCCTACGGATTGATCGCATATCCTAGATGCAGTCGGTGATGTGGGCTAGTTGGACGTGGTGGATGATATTTCGTCAACCGAGGAAGATCCACCATCTCCGAGGAACGCGTCGACAAGAATTCCAGGCCAGAGTATCTTAACAGGCAGCCAGAAAGTTCACATGAAAGGCTGGACGGCGGTACAAACGAAGGTCTATATATAGCTGTACGACGGAAACCGGTTCGAAGACGAAGCTAACGGGAACGGGCAACCGCCGATAAGATAAGATGTACTTTGGGAAGGGATGATGCCTGAGAAAATAGGATACATACGTATAGCGAGAGTGTGTGTGTCTGTGGGGGATGTGATGGCAGGAGGAACATAACGTAATGGAAGCCCGCATGGATTCTGACCAGATCTTTTCCCGCATGATGAAACCATTGCCTTTGTCCTTTTCACATGCATGGAAAAGAATAAGAATCATCATCAAAGCGAGTGATCCACCCACTACGTCATGGCTTTGCACCTTGATGCCATTGAAAAAGGGCCTCGAGTCTCCTCTCGTCTTCTGTCTTTGCACACAAACGATTTACAACGAACTGGTACACAATTGTCTTTCTACTTTTCCTTTCGTATCGATTGACGGGTCTGTTCCCGTAATTTCGCAAACAAGAAAACAAAAAACAGCCACCATGGTTCAGCCAGGGACGTCCCAGTCCTCTTGGGTGGACTTCATCAAACACCCTTTCGTGGGCACCTTCACCGTATTCTATCTTCTGTTTCAAGGTATAATCAACTGGTTCTTCGCGCCTGCCCCTCCACCACCTGCTTCACTCGTCAATGGCCTTCCCAAAAAACGAGTGGCGGTCATTGGTGCTGGGTTAACGGGCGTGTCGGCCGCAGCTCACTGTGTTGGTCATGGGTTCGACGTACAGATCTTTGAGGCGCGTTCCAAAGCGAAGGGACTGGGAGGTATCTGGAGTGTAGGTTTGATTGATCCGCAGATTACAAGACAGTGGCTGATCCCATGATTCTTCAGAGAGTGAACTCCACATCCTCCCTACAGATCCATAGTATTATGTACCGATTCCATCCGTCGGTGAAATACAATAACGCGTATCCGACGCAAGGAGAGATTCGTGAGCAAATTGTAGACGTGTGGAAGCGCTATGGCTTGCAGAAACATACGGCATTTGAGACTCCCGTGACCTCCGTGAAGCAGGGCAAGGATGGCAAATGGATCATCAATGACGACGAAGAGAAATACGGCCGCTTTGATGGCGTGGTCGCATCGGTTGGTGTTTGTGGAGACCCGAAGATGCCGCCGTTGCCCGACCAGGAGCAGTTCAAGGGCAATATCTACCACTCATCGGAATTGGATGGCAAGGATGTGGAAGGGAAAAAGGTGCTCATCATCGGTGGCGGTGCCAGCGCCATTGAGGCCCTGGAGTTCGCGGTCCAGTCGAAAGCGGCGGAAATCGATGTCCTGTCGCGGTCGGATAAGTGGATCATCCCCCGGAATGTGCTGGTTCAGTCCTTGTTGGCGTTGAACATCTTTGGCATGGAGACACCCTTTTCGTGGATCCCGGAATGGCTCCTGCACAAGCTCTTCTATCGGGACTTGGAGGATATTGCACCCTCGGGCGGCCTCTTTACGACCACACCGATGGCGAACTCCGAGCTCTTTGACAAGATTCGGGAGGGCAAGGCTCGGTGGCTGCGCGGCGATATTGTCTCGGTGAAGGAGAACGGGATCCTTTTCAACCGCCGCGCCCGAAAGGTGCCCAAGGGCGGTCCGGGCCACGAGTCGGTCGTTACGGGCGATGTCATTATCATGGCGACCGGCTTTAAGCGTCCGTCACTCTCCTTCTTGCCCGACGATGCGTTCGAAGAGCCGTACAGTCCGCCGAGCTGGTATTTGCAGGTGTTTCCCCCGAAGTACCCGGAGATTTGCGCCAACAACAGCACTTACGTGGATGCGATTGGAACGGTGGGTAACATGCACATTGGCATCTACACGCGCTTCTTGCTCATGTTCTTGACGGACCCCTTGACGCAACCCACGGAGGGTCGCATGAAGACCTGGATCGACTTCACGCGGTTTGTGAAACAGCATTCCCCGACGAACGCATTCGACTTCTTCACCTACTCCGAACTGATCTACTGGTTTGTGTTTGTGATCCTGGTCAACCCATTCCGGTGGAAGTGGGCCCCGTTCGTGCTGTTCGGCGTTGGCCGCGCGCTCCCGATGGGAGTCGTCCGGCAGGAGGAGTCGTTCCGCAAGCAGTTGAAGCAACAGCACTAAAGCCTTCTATTCTTGTTGATTGGACTCGTGATACGCGCGACATGGACATTGGATGACGCGACATATCGATGATTAATGAGGTCATGTCTGTTTACAGAGTTGACGCATGTTGTGAGGCATATAGCAAGCGTTGTAATGAATGAACATTGATTCCAGTTACTATGCAATGGTTGGCCATGCCAGCACCCTGTACTTTAAATCTGCCATGTGCAGCTACGTTGTGTGTAGAGGAAGTGTGTTGAGTATGCATGGCAATGTTAGACAATGTTAGACAATGTTAGATCAGGTGATTCACAAAACGGCCAGAAGTGTCGATAGCAACCAACGTTCCTACATGTACCAGCTGAGTTGCAGGGATGGACCATTCCAGCCCGGAAAATCGATCCGCTTGACAAGGCCTTCCCCACGGGGTCCAATGGCTGTATTTGCCGGAAGGGTCAATCCGTGGCAAAACGTCATGGACGATGGAGTGTTGGATTCAAGATTTGGGGATTGTCGTGTCGCCAAGAGGCCCAGAATAACAGCAAGACCTCATATTGGCTACCCCCTCTGTCTAGCTGCCTTATTCTCTCTGCCACGGGAACCAAGGTAAGGTGACTCCCAATAATTGGGATATGATCCTCGAAGAGACGTCATGTCAATGTTTTGACTTTCGGAATTGAAAGGATGGCAAAAGATGGCTCGGGTCCGAAGGGGTTCATCGCACGAAACGAGGCTGCATGTCGAGTGGGCTGACGCTTTTACCGCGGTTCCTCGCGTACCGACGTGAAGCTATTGGTGAGCGACGGAACCCAATTGATAATAAATGAGGTTCATGCAGCCCATAAAATCGCGCATAAATCAGACAAGGTTTCTGCCCTACCCCAGAGCTGTCTGTCTGCCTTGTGCGGGTGGATTGAAGGCTATTGTCCAGATGGATCCTGAGAATCGCACAGGCTGGTTCCGTACTCACCTGGTGAGTCACGTATGGTGGTCTGATTGGGGACTGACATAGTTCTGTCGCCGACGTAGGTTAGGTTGGAGCGATCGCCTTGACCGGGCCGGTTCGGAGAAGGATGGTATGGATTATTGGAAGGTGCAACGAAGATTCTTGTCGAGAATAAACCATGGACGAGTGTTGGAAACGTGGGATCTCGAGAAGCCAATCCTGCAATATGTATCTCCAAGCTCTTCTGTCTCACACACGGTGGTGGACCTGCTCCGACCAGCAGAGAGGGGAGTTGTTATGATCGGCGCCAATTCCTGTACAGAATACGCAGTAGCTTAACAATTGCGACGGTCTCCTGAGTCTCGGCTCTGCTGGTGGTCGGCATCGTGAAAAGCTTGCCTGAGCGCGAAGTTCGACGAAGGATTTCGCAATACTAAAAGACCCAATTGGATCGTCGCTGTGCTTCTACTAGACGATGCACACGCGGTTTAGAACGGCATAACAGGTTTTGTATGGTTCATGCTAGTCACATCCGGGTTACATCCGGGTTACAAGATGAGACGACGACACATGGCTTAATCAACCTACGAGCATCTGGTTGGGTAGACTGCGATTGCATCTTTGGCCGTACCCACCGGCGCTGCTGTGGATACCACATCGTCCCTGCGTTGGTTAGCTCCACATTCCCTCGATTCTGGTCTCTGGACCCTGAAAAATCTTTTCCCTCTGTGGGGAGCACTTTCCACAAAAAGATCGACTCTGTACGAGTTGACGTTTACTGGCACTTACGCCACGCCGTTCTGCTTGCGATGCATCCGCCCGTTGTGCCCAGTACTAATGCATAACCGGTGGTGTTCGGTTCCGGTAGAAGCAGCGCCTTCAGAAGCGATATATTTAGAAAGCCTAGGCAAATCGAGTCCCTAATATGTTGCCAATGCCCCCCATTGGCTCGTGCTGATGGAGTCCGGATGGACACTGGGTAGCCAGAACCCTAAGAGCAACTTTTCGATGTCAAGGAAAAGTGTCCCGTGCAGTTGGCCCAAATAAGGGATCTCAATCGCCCCAAACACGACTTGGCAACCAGCTAAAACGAGGAGATTCCGCTGTTGACCCAATGATGCCTGTGGTTGCGGCCCGCGTCTTTGGGTTTATGGACCTCGGCCCACATGGTGTCCCGATGGTGGTTTTACTCTTCGTACTCCAACCACAGCTGAGCTGAACCATTAATAAAATTTACTCTGACTGGTGGGGACTCCATTGATCCTTCGGCCCTTCCAGTCCATTCATGTATACGAATCTGCTGATCAGGGGCCTCGACGTTCCATTGCTGTCGAATTCCATTGGCAACCAGACAGCATCTCGCGTATGCGACCCAGCAGATAGTCAAGGCCCTTGATGTTGGGCACCGGCCTTCGCTCGGGTATGCGGGAGCATGAGATCCCCTCGCACTGTTATCCCCGGTTAGGATAATGGCTCATCTTTTGGGAAGCGCCCCTGCCTGAAAGGGGTGATTGTGAGATGGCCCCTGGAGCCCTTGCGGACGAGCTGGTCCCGATCTGGTCCATGGTGGTTGTTGGTAAAACCGTCGAGGAAGAAACAATGTAAGCCCTAACGGTTTAGCAGCTGACTCTATCGAAACATGTTGGGGACGAGTGCCCAGGGAGTGGATCTCGGAGTGCCAGCCGCGACGATGGATCTTCGCTGCTCCCAAACAGGCAAGTGATAAGTGCATGGAAGCGGATCTTGTCCGGCTCAGAATAAGATTTCTCGATCGTAGAGCACTTTCTAAATCCATGGAGATCGGAGTGGCCATCCCCTATGTCTACCAGTCTTCGCACTAGGGTGGAAGTTTCTCCATTTTTGGGACCAACCCATTGGCAAATGACAATCTCCCCAGCTTAGCTCTCCTGCCTCGAGGGTGCATCTGTTATATCATGCATGCAGCAGCCCACTTCTTGACCCCGGGCTAGTTGATGCACAGCGACATCTGCTTTCATCCACACAAGGGCCTTGTTCTTTTGCCATTCGTTATGGCAGATCTTGGCTTTTACAATGACAAGACATTTCTCCCTGAACAATGGACAGAGTTCGGCCTCGGCGTTGTCATAGTATTCGTGCGCATGGGTGTGCGGATCCGGACGGTTGGCGTTCGAGGTTTTCAAGGCGATGATTATTTCGCCTTTCTGGTAAGAACTCTTCTTCCTGATGTCATTGCCACCACTTTGGAATGCTAAGGAAATCTACTAGGCGATAGGCCTCCTAACCATGGATGCTGTCACAGTACACCTCTCATGTAAGAACATCTCCTCCCAGGCTTGGTGCCGTCGATGCTAACGTCCAAGAAGACGTGCTAGGCACCAATCTAGAGATACCGCACGGTCTACATGACTCCCTCACACCGACCCAATATTCCTCAGTTGTAGCGGGCTCAAAGGCAGAACTCGCTGCCTGGTACTCCTACACAGCCCTGATTTGGGTCATGAAAGCCAAAATGCTATTCCTATAGTGAGCACCTCTGCTACACCCTTATAGAACTCAGAAACTAAGACGAAATCCCGATGGAAAAGCAAGCGTTTAACCATTGGATTATGGCAATCTCGGGCCATCAAATGGCTCGCGGCCTTTTGTGGAATTGCCTACCTTGCGGTCTTCCTAACCGTGACGTTTGGGTGTCATCCGTAAGAACCCTTGGATATCTGTCTCTCTTCATACGCCCATATGCGCTAACACGTCCTGCCTAGCATATCGAATAACTGGAGAGTATATCCTCCGCCGTCTAGTAAGGAACTGCCCCTCTCGCGAGGGCTGCATAATGCTAATGTCTTCCAGAACAGTGTGGACTCAAAATCCAAAACGTTATAGTGACATGTATCTTGAACGTCACGTATGCATATCTGCCGCAGTCCCCTCTGTATGGAATCAAGCTGACCAGTTCCTGATAGCACCGACTTAGCCCTGTAAGCAACCCGGACAGTCCAGAACGCTTCTCGTTACTCATACCCCATCGATCCAGGCTTTTCATTCCAGTCCCATTACTCTGGAAAGTCAAAACATCGCTCTCTAGGTAATACGCAATCCACATAGAACCCCCAAGAGAAGACACCTCCTAACTGCCCTCATCGGGAATAGAAAACTCGTCATCGCTATATTCCTCAGCTCCGGCATCTTCGTCATCGCCGCGTCGATTATTCGAACCACCCTCACATTGGAAGCAGAACCGTCTAGCATCACCGTCAACCGATGGGGCATCCGCGAGACCTTTGTCGGCGTCGCCACAGTTAACCTTCCTATCTTGCGCCCGCTGTTTACTAAGAGATTCTGGAAGTCAGGCTACGTGGAGGATGGCTCCAGCGGTCATCCCTACGGATATCAAGGCGGGTCGGAATCGTATAACATGACGATACAGACCAGGAAGAGCGCCCGGCGGGAGAGCATGAAAGCGATTAATGAGGCGAGCGAGGATGGAAATTACGACGTCTATGTCAGTACCAGTTATAACGTGAAGGTCGAACAAAAGGATACGCGTGAAGGCGGATCATCCGACGGCCTTCACACCAGTGGTAGTGTTTGGGAGATTGATAAAAAGTCGATTGTCTAAGACAGCACTTCGGCCCGGCTCAGACCTCGGCTGGCTGTTTGACACTAGGTTCAGTCTAGACCAAAATTCTATGCATTTAATTTCGTACTAAGAAAAGGGAACTGGGGGCGAGACTTCGAGCTCCACACACCCCTTTTAAGGCCGCATGGGCGTGGTAACCCCTATAAGCGGGAGAGATACGACTAAGACACTTTGATTGATAGCTCGTGTCTATTATGTCCATGATGTCTTCAGATCCTTGGCCCAGGAATCGATCGGCCAGTCCGCCAAGCTCGCGCGGGGACCAAAAATTGGGCTCACCCGAGGTATGTGGTGAATTAGTTGAGTTATAGATGTTGCATTATACTATTAGCGTCGATCGCCTTGCAGACCGAAACAGGATAGGATCGCGAGCAATAAGATTCATGCATATTGGTACGCGGATCCGTCAGTGAGGGTGGCAGCGAAACGGCTTCAGTCGTAGGATGGGAGCAGCACCTCGTACTCATACTCCAAGCAATCGGCGGAGAGGAGACCCATCGTACCTATTGGAAGGCCTTGGGGTGGAGCCTTAAGTTCGTCTCCGAGCTGCATCGAAACAGAATCTTCGTGTTGGTCCACAAGGCGTGAGATCGGGATCGGCGCCGATAAGAGTGCGTTGAGGATATGGGTATGGCCCACCACAAGGCGCAAGTCACGGTCGGGATGGGAACATTCCTCGTCCAATTTTCGCTCGCATATGCGAAGTAAAGTCAAGTGGTTTCTGTCCATTTATGTGCGCGGCGTTCTGGCATGATAGGACGCATATCGCTGGTGTCCTGGGAGATGATTCAGTACCTGCACCCCTCTTCGCTCTTATAATGAGTACTTGCAGTCAGATGCTTTGCTGTACTGAACAAGGCGAGGCCCATTGTAAGGCCCGTCTACTGCAGGCTAGACCGTGAGCTCTCAGGTCAGGATATTGGCACGACTCGTGGTTGGTCTCCAAGCTTTCTCCGCCGAACCAGAGGCACCGCAAACCTAAACCCCCAAACGCCTGTTCAAGTGATCTCGCCACTACCAATCGTCTAGACGTGGCCGACCTTCCCATGGCCCAATCCTACTGGGTCGTTTGCCGGAATGCCTTGCTCAGTGGCGTGATTTGAAAGCTGCTCTTGTGTCATGATACGGACCTCATCCCCGTCACCTCATACGAATACAGCGATCCCAGCATCGTATACATATCTCCACAATGGTTTATCGTAGCAATCTCAACACGATCGCCAGTCGTATCCCTGGCTTGATTGCCGTCGCTCTTAAGCCTCGAGTGCCGCCATGCGTCGTCGCTGCGCAAGGGAGGTTTCCGAAAGCCAGAGCGATGACTCTGATGCCCCAGTTCCACCGAGGCCCTTCCGCGATTAAACGACTACTGGATGACTACGATCGTTATCTATCAGGGCATGCTCTCGATCCGCATCCCCGGGCATACGCACCCACTTTCGACATGCGCGAATCGAAGGATACCTACCAGCTGGAAGGGGAGCTCCCCGGCGTGAAGCAGAGCGACGTTGAGATCGAGTATATTGACGCGCACACAATCAATATCAAAGGGCATACGGAACATGCGTCTGAGATGGAGGAAGGGTCCTGGTGGATATCTGAACGGTCCACTGGAGACTTCCGTCGGTCCTTCAGCTTTCCATCCGCTGTGGATCAGGAAAACACTCGCGCTCGACTGAAGGATGGAGTGCTTTCGGTGACGATTCCGAAGGTGGCCTCTACTTGGGATGTGAAGAAGGTGAAAGTGGAAGAGTAGGCGAAGGGAAACTGGAATTTAAATTGATATGGCGATGCGACATTGAATAACGATCCCTTGGTTTTCACATGCATGGTGTCTGCTTGGAGCAATCATCCTCTTACATCAAAATGCGACCGCTTCTTCGTCAAGGTGTGTCTAGGGGAAATTTGATACGGGGTGAGATGAGGTCGGAGATTCACCATTTTTCTTATATGCGTATTCAGCGAGATTTAAATGTATCCTTTTTCTTTCTTTGCCTCCATGTACTGCTTCAGCGGCTTGTATCCATTTACTATGATAATTATCAATCGATATCAGCAGTAAGATAGCCGAGACTGGTCAGGAGTGTAGACTATCGTACTGCATCAAAGATACCCAACTGAGGCCATTCCCCCTGTCACACAAACAGCAATCCATATTCCATGCACCTTACTTCACGCATAGCCCAATTGAAGCACTAGGAAATGATCTACCGTGGGGTTTTTACGTAGTTTATGGAACGAATGACGACATCGGGCAGCGTGCAAGCTTTCTCCCGGCAAGTCGATCCAGCGTTTTAAGGCGGATATCTTTCGCAACTGCCCGTGGGGAGGCTAAGGGGAATTCGGTAACAGACTATGGGATTTCCCCTCATGAATTCGTGGGACCCCTAGAGTTGTTCGTCGTGATTACCCCCCTCAGGCCACTTGAGCGATTAACTTGGACGAATTAACGTTTAGGGCGAGCCCTCCCTTACTTCGTATATAGAGAAGAGACGCTGGCCATCCCAGCAAGAACCCCTTCCTTCACCTTGCGCCAGAGGATCCGACAAGATCAATCAAGAGCGTCTAGAGATGAATTCGACAGAGACAGGAACTAAAGCCACGAAGCACGCCGAAGAAATCCATCTTCAAATCCGTATCCTGGTGGCCATCTGCGTCCTGATTTATATCGTCACAGCCATCGGGTAGGCACCACTGCTGAATCTCAGCGTAACTAGCACATGCCATCGGCTGATGATCGGATGCGCAGAGAACTAATGTTTAAGAGCTGCTAATAGGGTCCTGTTGAGAAGCTATTATATTACCACGCTGAATCTGGACCTCAGTGCCATTTTAGATCCATCGTTCTCGGCTCCGACAGCCACGGAGGAAGAGAGAAGACTGAATCTGCTGGAGCGAGTCGCACCGACCAAGCCGTTTATAACCTGGTGGAAATCGGTTCAAACCGAGCGAAGTCCTCTCAAAGACTACGACCGTGTATTTGACTGGTATGCAGCTTTTCTGTCATTGCATCTGCCCTTGAACGAACTCATTTGGACTCACACCGTATCAGCGCAATTTGCCTCGAGCCGGTTTCTAAAACGTGCCCAATCCACATTCTTCCCTGCCAACATGTCTTCCACAGCCGGTGCCTGGAGACATGGTTCTTGAACTATCACTACACTTGCCCACTGTGTCAGAAGCCTTTTCATGTTCGCGTAGAGAGCACCCCTGATAGCGCGGTGTAGGGTCTGCAGGCAGGTCTCTGCATTTGTAGCGGAGCAGAAGCTATACTAATACACTGAGCCAATTCCTGATAGCTGATTGCAACTTGAATCACCCTTTACAGAGCCCATCCGACGTAAACACGCCCTGGGGATCAACCTCCGTCTGAAGTCTTCTCAGCTTCTGCAGGTTTGCCTCTCCATAGCCTCGAAACGGGTCTTGGCCCCTGCTCGCGTAGCTGTATAGAGCTATGGATGATGTTTGTCCAATTTTAGTTCCTTGCCCGTTCCGAATACCTTTCGCAGCGATGCCTTGTACACCATTTTTCAGCCTGCAACTGTGCTCCCCTCATGTCTCTGAATAACTTGAGGAACGTGGCCTTTTCCCCGCCGGAGTTGCCTAATTACAGACATGAAGTCACTACAAGGGAAAGTGAACAGTCACATTTACCAATCCTCCACATACACCGGGATAAATACCCCACACGAACCGTGAGCCGAGGTTCATGCCTGCACGCAAGACGATGAAGGAGCTTAAATCAGTAAATATCCCCTCCACAGCTGACCGATTTTGGAAGTTTCAGAAGGAGACCATAGTACACCAGTACTATGTCACCTAGTGATATCCGAAGTTGCATCCTTATCGGACGATGCAGACGCCAAGGAAGGTGGAGCGTTTCTGAAAAGTCATGATGTCGAATGTAATAGATGTGCGCTCGACCTAATCCTCACGGATGGTCGGAATAATCGCAGACGAACAGGAAACAAGGCTATGAATGATTCTGCGGCTGAAGATATTGAAATCTGTATAGTACAAAGTTAGCGCCAATTAGGGCTAAGCGAACTGTTTCGCTGTCACATGTGGGACGAGTCGCGTTGGAACTTGCATTAGTCTGCAATGTACATCGCAATCTATCCTGCTTTGGACAAGGACGACAGTCCTTTGAATTGCCGAAAACGTACAGATAACCCTTATGCCGTGGAATGTATGGGAATACCCGACGCGATACAATCAGTTGTGTTTGTTACATGCTCTTCTCCGTTTGAATGTGAGGATTGTTGCTGCTCGACATGACTTACGTGAGGGGGATGAATACGACGCCCCTGTTTCTCTTCAAGACAGGCTAGGTTGACTATGGTTCCAAGAAGACAAAGGATTCCACTACTGGATTGCAACTATCACTGAAATGTGGACGATTGGAGAACCTGGTCAATGTGAGGCCTTTCCGAACCGTACCATGCCTAAGACTATTGTCACTAGTTCAATGTTTGCGGGAGAGGATGTCCATGCCTTGGGAGAAGCTAAAGGACAGAAGGGTCCTGTTTCAGCCTCTAATATTATCGATCTGGCGTTGGATTTTCCGGCACAGAGCTGTCCAAGGATCCGGCATGGCGGATACACAGCAGACTCAGCTTGATAACCAACGAACCATCATCCTTCAGTAGTTGCCTGTTTTCCCCATGTTAGGGCCCATGCTGAGCTCAACTGTCAAGATCATATCCGGAAGTTGTCTGTCGAAAGCCAGCGATCATTTCCGGAATAAGTCCGAAGTGCCACCGTTTTACTTGGTTCCTGACAAGCCCTAACCGTGAACTGAGCGCCGTCAACCAGATCAGAGAACATGAAGAGTCAATTGTGATGCGATTGGTGGGAAGCGAAAGAATTGGCCTAAAAAAAGGCCACGGAGATCCACTCCGTCGGTCGAGGAGCCGAGTTGAGTCTTAGTCCGGTGGGGGACCAGCTTTTAAACAACCGATAGCGTCGGAAGATTTCTACCGGCATGGATTTCTGTCTGACAGTCAAGCGATTGAGGTTTGGAATAAATTATGCCAAGACTTGCGCCTTCTCCTGCTCAATTTCGTTCCCTGCTTCGGCTAGAGAAGCACTCTCAATTAGTTCCAGTATGCTGGCACGTCTCCATCACCTGCTCTTAAACTGAGACCCGATGGGGCGCACCAACGAGCAACGGCGAACCTGTCCAGGGAGCCGTGGGATGGCTGTCAATTGTATCAGTGGGAGTGCACGGACGCAGTGACCGATTTATAAAGCCCGCTAGAGAACGACAACCCGGCTGAAGAATCCCAGAATAACACTCCAACCAGAGTACGATAGGCTGATCTCTTACCAAAGAAAAAGATGCATTCCTCCCTTCTCCCCATGCTGGCAGCGATGCTGCTGAGCCCAGTTAGCGCAGCCGGAGTAAGCGGTACAGCCTTTGGATTCGCTCAAGGAACAACCGGTGGAGGAAGTGCAACGCCACAGACCCCTTCAAGCCTCGACGAGTGAGTGATTAACCACGATTCTTGGTAAAGGTGCAATATCCTCTGACTAGGAGACAGGTTGAAGACTTGGATCACTGACGATGTCGAGCGGGTGATCCTCATTGACCGCGAGTGGGATTTCACCAGCACGGAAGGCCAGACTTCGGGTCAATGCTGCAGCTCCGATACCACCACGAAGTGCCCTGGTGGCACCTCCGCTGGTCAGGCATGGATTCAAGACACGTGTGATGACGGCACCTGGGTTTCTTGCACCTACGACAACGCTGCGAAGACCCCGCTGGACGTGGGCAGCAACAAGAGCATTGTCGGTGTGGGCAACAAGGGAGTTCTCAAGGGCAAGGGCTTGCGCCTTACTGGTGGCGCCAACAACGTCATCATCCAGAACATCCATATCACGGTACGACATCGGCTTGGTTTCGCAACAATGTGGACATACAAGGGCTAATCGCTGTCATTTCATGCAGGATTTGAACCCTCAGTACGTCTGGGGCGGTGACGCTCTTACCCTGGATGGCACCGATAACGTTTGGATTGACCACAACAAGGTATATTGATATCTTCCATTTGCTTTCCTCATCGCGTCTAGTATGATGTCTAACGAATAATGTGTCCAGTTCTCCCTTATTGGTCGACAGATGATCGTCAGCGGCTGGAACAAGGGCGGCCATGTCACCATCTCCAACAACGAGTTCGACGGTGTCACCGAATGGTCGGCTGGCTGCAATGGCAAGCACTACTGGTCCCTCCTGCTCCTGGGTCTAGAGGATTGGTATACCTTCTCTGGAAACTGGCTTCACGATCTCTCGGGCCGTGCTCCTCACATGGGCACTGACTACGACGACTCTAAGATCTATTTCCACGGCGTCAACAACTACTTCCAGGATATTGACGGACATGCCTTCGATGTGGACACCAACACCTGGGTGCTATTGGAGGGTAATTACTTCGACAACGTGAAGACCCCCATGACCGATACTTCCCTCACGAGTGGTGCGCAGCTGTACACCACCAGCACCGTCGACTCGGCCAGCGGTTGCGTCTCACCTCTGGGATACATCTGCGAATGGAACCGGGCGGGCGGCAACACTGGCACTTGGCCTGACCGCACTGACGCGGCGGTCTTGACCGGATTCTCCAGCCTCAAGGAGCATCTCATCGGCCACACCGGTGTCGCTGATGTCCCTACCAATGTCAAGGCCAACGCTGGCGTTGGCAAGCTGTGAGCTGCAACTTGCATGCGCTGAAAATGGGGACCGTGGAGGACTGTTAGAGCTATCGGGCACTTTTTGTATCATAATTCAGGACATTTATTGTAGATATTGCTCATTCTATACTTCACACGATATAAAAGAAGTTCAGATTCCCGACAGTTAACATACTCCAAATACCTAGAAATGCTTGGGAATGATTTATGTAGTCATGGTTTTGGTTGCATTGGCTCATATTAGTCAGTATGGCCGAGTGAACCTAGTTGATAGACTTGAATTTCAATATCTATTGGGTTCGTTCTTCGTGCTGACGGTCTTCAGATCCAGACTATCTGTTATCGTTAGTGAGTATTTTCTTATCTCGCTCGACTCTAATATCTCAATGACAAACTAGACCATCCCCTTGGGGACGCCGTGGCCAGCGCATACATGCATCCATATGCTGCCATATACAAGTAAACAGTCTAGTTGGCAGTCAGCCTGTTCGAACGGGTGAAGGACAGAATTGCCGAGCAGCACAGATCAACACGGCAGTTAAAAGTGCAGATTGTCTGGTATAAATTGCCAAGGCACTGATCATCTCGGCAAATGACTCGGAAATGTATCGGATTGCGACGATCCCGAGACAGGACAATCTAACAGCGTCACGACCTTCGGTTTTCTCATAATTAACAGTACTAAGTAGTGGGAGGAGCAGCAGAACCGAGAAGTACAAGGTCAAGAAAAAGGACAAGCCTCACTCATAAATCTGTATCCCAGTCGGCGCCCAACGTAGGCCTCACAATCCTGTCAACTTTCTGAGAAATCTGGGCAGTACTGACCAGGCCAAATCAATCTCTTCGATCTTGTATGTATTAGCTCAACTATCCAGGTACCCGGATTCCTTATTGGGGCCATCGATGCCGCAATTCGTGGCGTTACCTGAGGGTACGGGCGTGAATTCTCCCGGCGGGCGGCATTTGGATGGTCAAGTTCATCGGCTGGTCCACATGGTGTCATATATACCTAAGGCGGAGGTGTGGATAAAAGTATGAGCAGCACCTTCACGAGGGGTATGAACCAAGGACACCGCAACTACGGCGCCTTTGGTGGCAATCTGGGCATCGGACGAGCCTCTGCCGCCATGCCCGAGTATCACAGCCTTTATTCCAACCGTTAGAATAACTCAAATGTAAGGTTTAACCGCCTGAGTAGGAACAGATAAGGACAGACATACCTTGAAGCACGCTAGGCGTTGACATGCCATCGGAACGAGAGGCAGTATGGGCCAAAAGAGAGTCTACGAGCGCAGTGATTGACGCTGTGAAGCGCAGCAGTCTTCCTTCCATGGCGGCTGCGGCCCATAGGGATCAGCGATTCAGTTGGCCGTTGCAATGCAAACGGCACGGTAAAGAGGGCAATAGAATTAGCAGGATAAAGGAGACTGTTGGAGGTCGTACCTTACAAGATATGTTGGTTGTTATTGGGGAGGTTGGGTGCGTAGAGATTTGGAACGGAGATGAGCGAGGCAGCGGCTATTGAGAGAGTAGATCTTGGAAGTGTTCTGCAGACGACTGACTCCACGTACACTTTGCTAAGATTCGGGGGAACCTGGTCAGCCTGACAAGGGTAAAGCGGGCTTTCCATCCCGACGGTCTGATTATCCTGATCAGCACGGTGGATGCTTCGGATCCTGTGGGAGGCATTTGAAACCCTGCATCCAAACGCTAAGCTCCGAAGTAGTATTTGCACAGCCTCAGAAAAGATTCTCATAGATTCTCTCCGTATTCTAAGGCCTTTCTTAGCACATGTTGGAAAATTTATTTTCTTCAAATGGGCCACACGCGTCATCCAGCAAGGCCTGTTCCGCAAAACTCCATGTGTTCTAGATCGAACGAAGCAATGGGACGAAGCGGAACAGATACGGCGAGTCGGGTGATTCAACACCTTGTTCGGTGCATCTGTTCCAACTGTCCCGATTTTTCTGGGCCCCTCTTTGTGCTCCATATCTCGGTCTTCTGCAGCAAAATGTTTCTCCACTGCTACCTCAGCGATGCGTGCGCCAGTGATGCCCGTGGCTGAGATCTTGACTGGCGATGTGAATCCTGGCAACAAGCTGCGTACCAGTCAATCTTCAAAGCAGGCATTACGGCCTGAGTCCTTTACGCAGACCACCAACCGTTCAAAGTTATCGCATCGAAGTCTGGCCGATCACATGACATGGCTTCTCTACATCCATCGTAAACTAGGACGGTCAACATTTCAAACCACTCCCAAATTTCCTTCCGATAATGCTTGGAATAGCAAAAAGAAGAAATGACTAACCCGCTTAAGCTTTCAAAATACAAAGTTATGCCAGGGGCGTGCGCCCTGTTTCACAAACGAAACCGTGGATGGTCCAATCATAACCTGGTTCCCTCGACGGAGATCACTTGAGAGGCAGCTAATCGTGCTTCATCGAGTGCCCACAGAGGATTTTCCGTGGTTATTTTTACTACGTTGTACACCTCATGAAACCCTAACGGGAAGTGCTCTCGGATACGCTCAAACAGGGGTCGAGGTTACATTCGTTTACGGCAACAAAAAAAGAACAAGAAAGCCATGTAACCGTCGCGTGTTTGAGATGGGGATATTATTAGAAAGGTATTATAGCCCAAAAGACAAGATATTAGACGCGGGTAAACAGTCTAGCCCTCGCTGGAGGCGTCGAAATACGACTTTTAAGGGTTCGAGATAGGCTGGTCGGTGGGTCCCCGGACCGACAACTCTAATCGGACCAAATTTGGGACCAAAAGCAACTAAAGTACGGTCGAAAACCCTGGATGCGAAGATTTCCCCTGGCCTTACCGATATAGTCAAGATCGACGGGGCCATGAGGCTGTTGTTGGTCCTTGTACATGGCTTCCTCTTCTGCTGGACCATGTGAGGCGTTGGACTGACTAGCCTTGTATCTTAGATCCACTTGATTATAGAATCCATACAAATGCTTCGTGCAATGAGTGGAGACCATGATCCGGTCGGAGAAAGATGGTGGAATACCAGTTCATAGTGTTGTCGAATCTAGCTAGTCCCAAAGACTGGGTGTAGGTTTCTTTTTGAAACTTGGATAGCACGGTCTCAAACATGGATCAATCCTATCGAGATCCAGATCGACCCCCCACAAATCAGAAGCATGAACAGAAAAGAAAGGGAAAGAAAAGAAAAAGAAGGTATATAAGGACCGAGGAGACCCTCGATATCCCATCTCCATCCAGCTATCCAATTCCATTCACTCCTTCAAGTTTCTTATATTGCCTTTTGCAGTGTTTTCTTGTTTGTACTGTTCGTTCTTTTGCTTTCTTTTCTCTCTTTCTGGGAAAGATGAAGACTTCCACCCTTTGCACCATTGCCTTCTCAGCCACGGCCCTGGCAGTTCCGGTGTCTGTGACTACCGGTGATCATGGCCACGTCGACCCGGTGCCTGCCCTTGCCCCAGACGCCGAGGCGCATGCTCGCCTGCAGTCTCGCACCTTTTTCCCCATGGGTAGCCTGTGCCCCCCATGTGGTGAGGAAGGAGCCAGTCTGAAGGCTCGCACCTTTCTCCCTCTAATTCAGGGATTGATCGAGCACAAGATGAACAAGTTCGGCCTCTGCTCGCCGTGTGATACCAACAACAACAACAATGACAATTCCAACACCAACGACAATTCCAATTCCAACACCAATACCAATAACAATACTAATAACAATAACAATTCAAACACCAATAACAATTCCAACACAAACACGGTGACCAACAACATTAATGGCGGCACGCCTCCGACTGGTGGTATGCCTCCAACTGGCGGTATGCCTCCCACTGGCGGTACTCCTCCTACTGGTGGTACTCCTCCCACTGGCGGTACTCCCCCATCTGGTGGTACTCCCCCTACTGGCGGTACTCCTCCCACTGGTGGTACTCCCCCGACTGGTGGCACTCCCCCATCTGGCGGTACTCCCCCATCTGGTGGTACTCCCCCTACTGGCGGTACTCCCCCTACTGGTGGCACTCCCCCTACTGGCGGTACTCCCCCCACTGGCGGTACTCCTCCTACTGGCGGCACCCCTCCCACTGGCAGTAATACGGCTTGCGAGGAAGGCGACAGTACCTGCATCCCTCCAACCGGTGGCACTCCCCCTACTGGTGGCACTCCTCCTAGCGGAAGCACCCCTCCTACAGGCGGTATGCCTCCTACTGGTGGCAATCCCCCTACTGGAAGCACTCCTCCTACTGGCAATACAGCTTGTGAGGAAGGTGACAGTACCTGCACCCCTCCAACTGGTGGTAACCCTCCGACTGGCGGCAATCCTCCCACTGGCGGCAACCCTCCCACTGGCGGCAACCCTCCCACTGGCGGTAACCCTCCTACTGGAAGTACTCCTCCTACTGGTGGCAATCCCCCTACTAGCGGCACTCCTCCCACTGGCAATACAGCTTGTGAGGAAGGTGACAGTACCTGCACCCCTCCCACTGGTGGCAACCCTCCCACTGATGGCAACCCTCCTACTGGCGGTATGCCTCCGGCTGGTGGCAATCCCCCTGCTGGCGGTAACCCTCCAACCGGTGGAAACACTTCTGGCCACAATACGGGAACACACAACGGAGGCAATACCTCTTCTAGCTCCTCTAGCTCTTCCAGCTCTTCTTCCTCGAGCAGCTCTTCGTCTTCTACGACTGGCGGAAGTCCCGACTGCGCTGCATGTGCACCTCCCCCTCCCGAGGACTGCGAAGAGTACTAAGCGGGCTTCTTCCTGGATAGGTGACGGTGCCAAAGCTGAGAACAAACTTCTTTCCAGAATGTCCTGTCTTTCCTTTTATAACTTCGACCCGACTGTGTTGGCCTAATCTGAACGCTTGAAATCGAGCTCTGTTTGTTCAGCTTTATAATTTGTCATTCGTTTACATGTAATCATTGATTCTTTCCCCCCCATCGTTCGTTTACCACAATATGGCTACAAACAATATAATGTTCTTTCAGATAGAAGTTTAGTAGCTCTTGATATGTTTAATATATTCGCATGTTCTTTTCAAAAACAAGGTTCTGTTGTACAGAAGATCTTTCATTGGATAATTATACTTAATCAAGTGGTAGCTCAATGTCAGGGACAAAGACACCGTACTAGCGTGGGTAAATCTATATCTGCACGCTTAGCATTGTTGGCTCTGGTTAGTAGTACCACATGTCTTTCCTTGCCTTGGAGGCTGGTGCTCCGGGTAAGGCGGGAGTCATGCAGTCTCTATATTTCCGTGCTATACTTTGTATGCTATTTAATACGGTGGTTAATCCGATCTCATCAAGCTCTCTTGAGGGTCCGTATTATTGCTTTCGTATATTTATGGAGGGACACGGATGTTGTAAGCAATATATGAATCTGTATCGGGTCTAGTGAAAGACTTGAACACACACAAACCCTGAGGCATAGGCTCGGGCATCTACTATAGAAATTGAGAACCCCCGTCGTGCAATTGACTACAAGTAGTTGACAGTTGTCCTAGTATTAGCGCCAGCTTGTTGTATCCCACACTCAATCAGAGATTCACGGTTACGCCCTGATACTTGAAAGCTTCCACAGAATCTAACACCAATATTGTCAAGGGGCCCCGGATTAGGTAAGAATCAGAATGTAAAAAATGAAAGGCACTCTCTAAAGAAGCCAAAAGCGGAGTAATGGTCGACATCTCCGGTTGTTCGGTGGAGGTGGATGCAGGGTTCGGGATAAGGCACTATTCCGCTGTCTCCCGATTGAGCGGAATTTAGAGGACTCGCAGTCAATCCTCCATTAATAGACTCAAGCCCCCATGAATATGACTTGGGATTCTCTCATCAATCCAGATTTTGCCTTCCACTGAGTTCGATATCTTCTTTTCTTTCCCTTTCCCTTTCCCTGTTTCTTTTGTGCAAATCCAGCCGCGATGTCTATCTCAGCTGTTGACTCCCGCATCTTTCGGAACCTCTTTGGCACAGAGGAGGTTCGTGAAATCTTTACAGATGAAGCGTATGCGAAATTCCTGGTACAGACGGAAGCAGCCCTGGCTCGGGCAGAGTCCAAAGTCAATGCTATTCCAGCAGAGGTTGGCGATGCGATCACCGCAGCTCTTGGTAACATCGAACTAGAGTACGTGGACCGTGACCCGAGATCATTGTGAAACAGTTGACCATTGACTGAAGATAATAAAATAGCTTTGAGAGGCTCTCTCGAGAGACCGAAATTGTCGGATATCCTGTTCTACCTCTGGTGGTGCAGTTGGTGGAGAACACTCCTGAAGAGCTGGCGAAATACATTCATTGGGGTGCCACCACGCAAGATGTCATGGACAATGCCAGCATGCTTCAGATCAAAAGAGGCTTGGATTTGGTGAAGCGCGATCTGAACAGACTGATTGAGATTTTGCAAGGGATGGCGCAAAAATACCGTGACACGTAAGTTGAGCATTGAGCGTAATTTAGCGATATTTGCATGCTGACTCCACTGTCTCTAGTCCAATGGCCGGCCGTACGCACTTGCAACATGCCTTGCCTTGCACCTTTGGCTACAAGTGCGCCGTTTATCTCTCTAGCATCCTGAGACACAGAGACCGGCTTTGTGAAATCGAACGTCGATGCCTCCTGGTACAGTTTGGTGGTGCAGCGGGGACTCTGGCCTCTCTGGGTAGTGATAGGACCGGGATACTTGTGCGAGCACAGTTAGCTAAAGAGCTTGATCTGGAAGACCCGATGATCACGTGGCATGTCGCTCGTGACAATATTGCAGAGGTTCTCAACTTTCTGGCACTGGTAGGTGGTACCCTGGGGAAGATTGCTTTGGACATCATCGTCATGTCATCCAATGAGCTAGACGAGGTGGCAGAGCCTTTCGTGCCACATCGCGGCGCCTCCTCAACCATGCCGCAGAAGCGGAACCCCATCTCCAGCGAGATCATTCTCGCTACAAGCAAGCTTCTCCGAGCCAATGCATCCTTGGGATTGGATGCTATGGTTGTCGACTTTGAACGTGCGTCTGGGCCGTGGCATCTGGAGTGGGTGGCAATCCCGGAGTCCTTTACATACGCAGTTGGCGCTTTGCATCAGATTACTTTTGCTTTATCAGGACTATGCGTGAAAGAAGACTCCATGGAGAAAAATCTCCACTCTACAAGGGGGTTGATTGTCGGGGAGGCCGTAATGATGGGGCTGGCGCCGTTCGTTGGCCGACAACGAGCACACGACGTGGTCTATGAGGCCTGCAAGTCAGCGATTGAACATGATCGAGTGTTGTTAGACGTGCTTAAGGAAAATAAAGAGGCATCAGAGCATTTGAATGAGACCAAGCTGACCCAATTGTGCGATCCATTGAATTATCTCGGGTCCGGTCAGCTCATGGTTGATGACGTTCTGAGAAGAGTCGCTGAGGGAAGGCGAGGCTGAAGGCGATGTAAGCAGAGGTAGTTAAATACAATGAAACTAGTCAATGTATATCAATCTCTCCCGTACGAGCATGATGACAATGTAGATGTCGCTAGTAACAAGGTACGAAGAATGGCATCTCGACATGGTACGGGAATCTCCATGGGTTCGATATCCCAGGAGATACCCGTATGGTATGCAGATACCATAGTGTATAGATTTTATCTCGGGTAACCTTCGCACTACTTTCGAATAACGATGTGCCGAGACGTAAAGTCTATCAAAACTGCCCTTGTTGTCGTGATGAGAAGGGTTAGGGCATTATTCCACCCCCAACGACGATATGCCTTCGGATTAGGGCTTAATCCCGACCCCAGAATGTCTGTACCCCGGATCAGCTGATTTCCCCACAACCCCAGACATGAGGCATATAACAAAGTGCAGCATATGGTATAAAAGAGGTATGAATATCGAATCGACCCAGAAGAAGGCAGTTTCCCCCCAGACACACTTTCTGATTCTACCTTATTCGGCTCTGTCCAATACTTGCTTGAAACATGGGATCACCATCATTCATGGGCCTTCGTGGAAGCGCTCTTACCTTAGCACAACTTCTTCTGGTTGTTTGTCCTGCTTTCATTCTATTCGGATACAATCAATCCAACCTTGGTGGATTGGTTTCGGTGACGGATTTCACGAATCACTTCCCTCGGATCGATACTGTTCACACTGAAGGAGAACAGAAGAGTTCAAATGCCACCATACAGGGCGTTGTGGTGGCCACCTTTACATTGGGGGCGATGATTGGGTGCCTTTCTTGTTCATATACCAGCGACAGGTTTGGACGCCGTATCGTGATATTCGCAGGGGCCATCCTCACCATGGTTGGGGAGGTCCTCGAAGCATCTTCGTTCCAACTCGCTCAGCTCATCATCGGTCGAGTGATCCTAGGTGCTGGCGTGGGGATGTTGAGCGGTACAGTCCCTACCTGGCAGAGTGAATGCTCTAGCTCCACGAACCGTGGAAAGCACGTCGTTCTGGATGGGCTTTTCATCTCCATTGGATATGTGCTGCAGGCTTGGATCAACTTAGGATTTTACCAAATCAAAACGGGTTCAGCATCTTGGCGGCCACCGATCGCCATCCCAGTCCTCTTTTCGCTTCTTTTGAGTCTTGTTATTTTAGTAATGCCAGAGTCCCCACGGTGGCTGTCTCAACAAGGTCGCATCCAGGAAGCACGAAACACCCTTGCTGCGCTCAAGGGGCTATCAGAAGATGACACGAGAATCATTGATGAATTATCCGCAATCGAACGCTCGTTGGAACAGTCCGGCCGCACTGCGGCGTCGCTTGGCGATATGCTGAAGATGGGAGAGGATCGCCTTCTCTACCGGTTTTGCTTGTGTATCTTGTTGCAGTTCTACCAACAAATGTCTGGGGGGAACCTGATTTCCGTCTATTCAACTGTCATCTTCCAGGAGGGTCTTCACATGGATTCCGAGACATCTCGAATCTTATCCGGAGGGACTTTGACGTGGAAGCTCCTCTCCTGCTTTGTGGGTTTCTTTGCCATCGATCGATTTGGGCGACGTTTTGTGCTCATGGTGAGTGGCACGGGAATGGCGACTTGTATGATGGGACTCGCCATTGCGACTTCCTTTCCACATTCGAATTTTGGTGCCCAGGTGGCTAGTGTTTTCTTCGTGTTTCTCTTCAATTTCTTCATTCCAATCGGCTTCTTGGGCGCCAATTTCCTGTACTGTACCGAGGTGGCGCCCACGAAGCTGAGAGTAGCCATGTCGAGTATTTCCACTGCTAACCATTGGCTGTGGTGTGTATCTTTCTGATGTATTGTGTTGCCGATGCTAATCATACTCTCAGGAACTTCGCTGTCACGATGATTACCCCGGTAGCGATCAACACTATCGGGTATCAGTACTACATTGTGTTTACCTGTATTGGGTTCTGCATCCCTATCTCCGTCTACTTCTTTTATCCCGAGGTGAATAAACTCTTTTCTGCTCTCACTTGAGTGTACTACTGACGCCAAATCAGACCATGGGTCGATCGCTCGAAGAAATTGACTTGATTTTCCGGAACAGCCCGTCGGTCTTTGCAACTGTCCGGTATGCGAGGGAAAATCCTCAACTTGCACTCGAGCAAGACTGGGCACAAGAGAAGGAGGAGATCCGACACGACGAGAAAGTGTAGCAGGTTAACAGGCATGTATTAGAGGGTACGGAAGTTGGTGTGGTAAAAGAAGACACGGCGATCATCATTTGGTAGAAACGCAGAGAGAGATGCAAAATGCAAACCATCTGTATAGGCGAACGTGCCGATCATTTCCAGCCTTAGCTAGGCCCGTAGTGCTGCCTTAGGCGTGGCGATATGGATGCCTGGGTTCCTCATCAAAAACTCCGCGCCGGAATAGCCGCTTATCCCGCTGCCCTTATTCCATGCAATCCCCACCTTCCTCAACCCCCCTCGACCAATGTCGGTGACTTGACGATCACAGCCATACTGTCACATCCTTGTCACATCTGCTGCAAAGAATGGCCGAAAGACGGCCAGCCCAGGTTTGGTAAGTGGGGTTCCTCTGCATGCACAACCATCCCAAGTGGGTGGAATGATGAATCCCTCTGTCTACATCCAAACTAACCTTGCTTCACAATAGCGATCGGTGCCGCGTGTAAGCACACGATAGAAAAATCCAATGATAGCATGGGAGATCTGACCAGACTTGCAGGAAAAGAGTCAAGTGTGATGGACGCCGGCCGAAGGTCTGTTTCTTGTTGCCTCCGTTTCCGTCTACCACGGCTCACTTGTTCATTCGTTCAAGTGTGGGAAATGTGAGAGGGCAGGTGCTGAATGCTCAGTGTCTGTCCAACTGAAACGGAGAACCACTCCACGAGGGTATACACCCCAGTTGATATTCTTCTACATTCCTGCTAACCCGGTGATAGGTACATTGAACCCACCGAAGAACTCATCCAACAACTCACGCAAGAGCTGGAATCAGCTCGAGACCAGCTGCAACTTCTCTCAGCACGGGAAGAGGGACTCCGTGAGACTATTGTGTCGCAGAAGAAAGAGATCGAACAGTTGAAGGAGCTGGTTACCGCATCTCGCCCGGGTGGCTACACGCAGCATGGAGGAGAGAGGGCCTCTAATGGCTCTGTGGTGGCACACCTTGGACGACTGGTCTTGGGCGACGGCAACTCCGAGTTTTTTGCAGGTTCTACGACAGGGGTTCATTTTGTTCTCTCGGCCCAGCAGCTGTATCAGACTACTTTCTCTTCCCAAGAGCATTTTCCCGAATGTTTGTTTCGCCTGCACATCCTGCGGCCTAACGGATCGCCCGTCGCTTTGGAACAACCTATAAGCGTGGAAAGTTGTTTGGGGGACGGCCACCTCACTTCGGGCAACATCTTTGAGTCTCTACGTAATCATCTCCGTAACGTGGGTGTGGTTGCTATTCGCGAGGCATTTGACAAGTACCAACAATGTTGGGGAATCCTATATCCTGTGTTGTTGTCAAAACAGTTCCTTGACACTTTTGACGACACAATCAACGATGCGTGGACCACATCGATGGAACCGCATCTCAGGGTACCATTTCTCCTTCAGGTGTATGCCTTGATAGCACTTCAGAGCATCCATAGTAGTACTGCCGCGACTGAATCAAGGCCCTTGTCTTATCACCTGGACACCATACTGAGCAACCTACTTGGCCATATGCCTTGCCGAGGAGATATTCCTAGTCTCCAAGGCTTAATCCTTTACCTTCTCTATCTCCAGATGACATCGCAGCACTCGTTAGCAGTACGTGTCTGTGGTATGGTCGTAAGATTAGCGCAATCGCTCGGACTGCATCGACATACTAGACGATTCAAACACTCACCCGGTGAAAGTGAGTTGCGAAGACGGATATGGTGGTCTGTATATGTGCTTGACGTGTATGAAAGGCCCTTCCAGCTTTTGATGACGAGATTACAAAATACTCATATTGATGCATTCTAGACAATCAAGCATCCTATATGGTCTACCCAGAAACATACAAGCAGCAGACACAGACACCGACCTCCCTACCAATACCGACTATGATGACATGCATAGCGATCAGCTGTCGTACCCGTTACCTGGAGAGACTACCCATATCGAGCCATTCCTCCAGTATGTTCATCTCGCACAAATCCTATCCAGGTGTCTAGAACAAATGTATACGACCACCAACCGAAGAGGTGGAGTTGCCAAGATCTTTCGACTTCAACGTGAACTTGATCTTTGGAAACAAAATGTTCAATCAAGTTTACCCAATGTCGCACGGACTGGGGAACTTATCCAGACGAGACTACATAACAGAAACAATAACAACACTGCCTACAACCCTGTTGAACGCCCCGATATTATATCTCTATGGTTGTTCATCTTAGGAGAGCTAGCCACCATGCTCATCCATCGCCCTGCATTGACTTTTGGACAACAAGAACCACAACTTGCGGATAGCCTGCGGTCTTGCAAGGAAGCAACCACGCATCTCATTCTAGCATTTGAGTTAGCCTCAGAGGTGTCGTTCACACCTCACATATGGCCGTCAGGTCACCACCTTGTTCTCCAGAGCGGGCTGATGCTTCTCTATGACCGGTGGGTTCAAACCCCAACCCAGCGGCCCGGTATTTCATCAGAACCAGATACCCTCCCCCAGTTCATTCATATCGCTATCACTCTTCTATCTAAATCAGCTGCGCACCTGGACGAAAGAGTGGGTTCCGGAAGACCAAGGTCTCCCTCTACGACAGACACGATAGAATCGCTTCGACAGGCATCGTCCTATCTTCACTATCTTTGTACGCGAACACTGGACAGCCAGGGTGGCTCGTGGTCCTGGCCACCGTTCAGCCAGCACTCAATAGAAAGTGCGATTCCTCAAGTGAGACCAATAGTCACCGACATTCATTCATTAGCTCGACCTGCGCAACCAACACTATTTCCAGACTACTCTCCCTCCCTCTGGGCACCACTATCCATCGACGAGATCAATCAAATGGAGATATTCGAGCTTACCGACCCGCTGTTGATTCCTTGGGAGAATTAACGGTTGGCGGTAGTATGTAGTGACTCTGTGCCGATCAAATCATCTTTGGGTTACCACTTGGAAAACGTCGTGGAGATTAAATAATACTTGACTCGCGGTCTTCGGTGCAGACGTGGGTTTCCTCTCCAGCATACCTGGTAATCAAGATTGTATTATCTCCAGCGTGGTATTGTTCATATATTTCAGTCTCAGTTGCACACGACTCCAAGAGCCAACACAAAGATACATCCCATACGTGCTAGAAACCACTCGCCTTTGCCAGTAGTGTAAAGTGAAGAAGCTCTGTTGCGAGATATGCATGGAGTGAAAGGCAGCAAAGAGACTGTTCTTTCCATGGAACGGAACGGGCCGAATAGGATGTTTAGTACTTTTATCTTCAAGGATCGTTGATCGCGGAATTCTGTTCCCAGAGTTCCCAGACAAGAGCAGCATTAAATGGTGGGTCGTGGGCTAAGGTACGTGTTTGCCAACCTCGGACTACTAGCCAATGTAACCCTGGATATGCCAACGAGGAGCCTCTACAAGAAGCCCACGAGGGTATCGTAAATGTGGGAAGTTTACCGTGACATGGCTCAACAGGACGTGCGGTATTGCCAACGCAATCTACAGAGAGATCCAAAACATCACTGATCTTAAAGTTGATCTTTGCCGCATGTTACAGGTGTGACAGCCAGAAACGACGATGAAGTGCTTGCCAGGGTCAGACAGACCCACGTAGTAGCGGCTGTACATCAGGGATAGTATGCCATCGGTGGAGCCGGAGTGGAAGCCTTCTACTGTGTACTCCGTATATGGGCTCCATATATCATACGGTGCTGTGGGTTTGCGCGACCAGTCACGATGGTCTAATCCGCCAACCGAATGAATTATATCCAAACACAACGGCCAATGACTTTACACACAAGTATCGTCGAATGCCACCTGCCTGACCAGTGCTAGCTCTGTGTGGCGCTAGACCAGGGATCGACCGGGTTAAAATCCTTGAGGGTTGTAGTGCCACGTAATAGTTGCGGCACTAACAGCGCCGATTGTTTTAGCCCATCAGACCCTGGCTGCTTTCTGAGACTCGGGCAAGATTCTCGACTCCTCCGGAGTAACGTGTACATTTTCCAGTTTCGGGTAGGGTAGGTTATTTGTAGCTATGCAAAAGGTCTCGGAGCTCATATCGCAGATGGTCACCGCATCGGCTTCATTTCATACGTCTCTTCCACGATCCATTCTCGGGTCTGATGAATGATCAGCTGCCGCGAATGCTGGCTTTCATGAGAGTGTCGGACGACCGTCAAATCGAGCTCTTCCTCCTCTGCCCCAGAGCTATGTGGTCCACGGCTTCGTGACGCATTCCCTGAAGCGCTCGTAGCCGATTGTTTGTAGTATGTGGTCCCTTTGCTATTCGCTACGCCTTGTCCCCAGCCGGTATTGAATGCAATAATGAACGGTTTGAGACATGGGATCGTCGCCACCATGATGCTACAATGCAGCAACACTATGGTCATGACCAAGGAGTTCGAAACATGCAATGGAGCGTCGGGGCGGAATAGCGAGGTGTTCAGGTATCTTTGCCGGATAATGATCAGAACGATTATTCTGCCAGGAGATACAATGCGGTTAATTCAGTACTTGGCCAGAAGGGAGAAGCAACATACGAGATTCGAGTCGCAAATGCAAAAATGACCGTCGCCTTCTCTTTACGACGCATTTGGATTCCCCAAACCAACACCACACTGAGGACAATCAGGCATATCTCAATAATGACATCGAACGTACTGACTGCTTTCCAAGCAATGCCCTGTTCCCGTAAGTTGGTCCCAGTTTCGTCTGCAAATATGCCGAGGTTCCACGTACCAAGCCGAGACAATGTTCCTCACTGGACCACTGGTATTGAGCCGTGCAACTGATTGCAATCGCTAGTATTGAGGCGATCATCCACAGCACCGTCACAGCTAAAGTGGCTTTGCACGCCAGCAGATACCCCTTCTCCCGGCCTAGCCGGTGCAGGAGGAATCCAACGGAGGCTTTCGCAGCACCGTGGCCGACAAGGAATAAAATATTGGCAGCATACAGAGTCTAAAGGAGTGATAATGCTATCAGCAGTGTTCGACTTCATCGATGGATTGCAGGTCGCGTTTACTTGTGCGGCACTCTTCAGATCGGATGCAGAGGTTTCATTTTGGGATCTGCCCAGCCCGTGGGATACTCCATGCATGATCGTTCCCACATGGGCTATTCCGAAAGCCTGCCATGTAGACACATCGTAAAACTTAGCCCACAGTTGCTGCAGAAGCAGGGACCGACTTACGCCGCCTGAGAAGACCACCAGGTCATCAATTCGAATAGGTCCGTTCATTCCTAGACGCATATAGAGACGGATTAAACAGACGATGACCATCCACGACATGAAAAGAGTCGCAACAATGACGAGCAGGCCGCTTCGATCGGTGGCCGATATCACGTACGGGGCGTATTCCCCCATGGCGACGGACTCTTTACGCGGTGGTGAAGCCTATACGATCAGAGACGGGTGAGGTGCGCATTTTTCACTACTGTTAAGGGGAGACCGGACTCGTAGTAAAATTCTGACAGCTTTGGAAGTAGTCGAAAGTCCAGGGATTCGAGTCCCTCAAAATAAAAATAAGTAATAAAAGAAGAATTTGAACTGAACTAAATAAAGGTCGTCGGGAGAAACCGCTCGCTGATCCACCGTTTTGCAGGGATAAACAGCGCGGCGACCACCCAATGCACAAATAAGCAGCCTCTTAATTCGTTCATGCTCGAGGAAATACTACTTCATGTTAATCCTTGACACTCAGAGGGCCCCAAACCAGCATACCAAACTAAGCGGAGGCGTATTTTGGGAAAGGTTAGCATCCACGGTGCAATCTATATCCCGGAGAGTAGCACTCGGCTGGCGTAGGAGATATTGCTCTAGCGTCCCAAACCCCTGTCGAGACTGAATACCCATGTTGAAACTGATTGATTTACCCTGCACTTGTTCCCCTCCAACTTCCAGCTGAGCCTTTTTTTTTTTTCTTTCTCTCTCAGACTTTTCGCTCCGCTCCCTCGCTGCCAGTACTCTCAGCCTCGAGTCCGCCTCTCATTGTGAGACAACAAGCGTGGAGTAAATTCATCATGTGGAAGGATGAAGCAGTCAAGTCAGTGGGGTACATGTCAAGCCACGAAGATGGCGTGTCCGCAAAAGGTGGAACGATGCAAGATCGCAAAGATATGTGGCGAGTGGGCAGAGATCAGGAGTTGAATGTCAGTAAAGGGGAGACAAAAGACATCGCAGTATCGTTTCTGGACTAACTTGCCGTAGCGAAACTTCCGCTTTCTATCAGTGCTTGGGTTTACAGCGGTGTTAATGTGCACCTGGGAGGCTGTTCTGTTGTAGGTGCTGCCCCGACGCATTATCATTCTGTCGCACCGAATTGACTAACAGATGGGCAGTGGTTCGTCGTATGGCCTTACTAATGGTGGTAAAGGAGGCATGATCTACACATATCTGGGAGGCCTGGTTGGATTTAGCTTTGTGATTCTGTCCATGGCAGAGATGGCGTCCATGTCCGTACTCCCAAATTCCGTGGTCTTATCCCATGACTGACTGGCACCAGGGCACCGACATCTGGCGGGCAGTATCACTGGGTGTCGGAATTTGCTCCCCCTAGTTGCCAGTGCATCCTGAGCTACATTACCGGCTGGATCTGTGTCCTGGGATGGCATACCGGGATTGCAGGATGCTCATATACTGTGGCGAACATGATGGTGGGCGTCATCGCGATAAATTATCCAGACTCGTACACCTACCAGCCCTGGCATGTCACGCTTCTGGTTATTGCAGTGGCGTTTGTGGCATTATTGTTTAACACCCTTCTCGCGCAGAAGCTGCCGCTGATTGAAGGGATCATTCTGGTTATCCATTGTTTTGGTTTCTTTGGGATTCTTATCCCCTTGTGGGTCCTATCACCAAGGCCAGCAGCTTCAGAGGTATTTGGTTCAATCGAAGATCGCGGAGGATGGGGCTCCAATGGACTATCCTGTTTAGTTGGATTGGTTGGGCCCATTTATGCCCTGATCGGTATGTGCTTGTCATAGCCGGTTCACCTTCAAGACCCATGCTAACGCCACATGTCCTTTGAAGGTCCTGACTCGGCTGTCCATATGTGTATGTCTTGCTTTGAACCTGCGTCCGACATAGGAACATTAGCTTGAAGTCATACTGACCCAGAGCAGCAGAGGAAATTCGTGACGCTTCCCGAGTCCTTCCCTTGGGTATGATCTGGACCTTGATTCTCAATGGGTCCACTGGCTTGGTTATGATCATCACATTTGCTTTCTGCCTTGGCGATATTGATGAGGTCATGGCGTCCCAAACTGGCTTTGCATTCATCCAAGTCTTTCTCAACTCTACTGGGTCCGTCAAGGCCGCCACCGGCATGACTGTTGTGATTATGGCCATGCAATTTTGCGCTGCTATCAGTAATGTAGCCACCACGTCCCGACAGGTCTACGCCTTTGCACGAGACAAAGGGCTTCCGTTCTCCGATTTCTTTGCTACGGTAGGACTAAACCCATAGCATGTTTTAGTACAACACTAACCGATCCTCAGGTTAATCCCACATTTACAGTCCCATTGAATGCGTTATGCGTGAGTCTAGTCATCGTCTCTGGACTCGCCTGCATCAACATCGGCTCTTCAGTTGCCTTCAACGCTATTATGTCGCTTGGCGTCGCCGCTCTTTTGTCTTCATATATCATCTCCATCTCATGCGTTCGGATTCGTCGCTGGCGCAAACAGCCTCTTCCCCCTGCTCGATGGAATATGGGGCGGCTCAGCCCTTACGTCGACACTGTTTCTCTGTTGGTTCTGTCGATCGTCTGGACCTTCAGTTTCTTCCCCTTGACCCGAGAGGTAGATGCCACTACCATGAACTGGGGTGTTGTCATCTTCGTTAGCGTGATCATCTTCTCTCTGGTGTACTACTTGATCTATGCCCGAAAGGTTTACAAGGGACCGGTGGTCCGGGTAAATGCGATGGGATAGATGTACATATGCAGTTAGGCAAAAGCGTGTTCTGTCTCCCCTTTACGTCTGACACAGGGAATAATACTCAAAGCTATCCAACTGGAAGACATAGAAGTAGCAAGATACATCGTGATCTCGACCGAATCGGTCGAGATGAATAATAGAGGATAGGATATGCCATGCAGCGTTAAACTAAAACGGGATTTCATGTAGAGTCTATATAATCGTACAACCAGATCTCGCTTCAAAACTTGATTCTATTGATCGTTGATGCTAGTGGACCGCATATGTTACGTTACCGCTTCGGTCCTTTTTCGATGCTGGGGGCCGGGAATACCGAATTGGGTGTTCCGACGTTAAACGGGGTTTGTCCCAAAAGGGAAACATACCGCTATTCTCTAACGTCGAGGCGAACAACCAAAGTGAAGAAAACTGATCGACCCTTTTTTCGCCCCAGTATTGTGCGCATAGTGCTTGATTGACCAGTTCAAGACATCTGGTTCAGGAGCAATCAGACAACGGGTAGCTCTTGAAGATGGCCCTTCTCGGCATTGTTCAAGAAGCTCAAGAAGCAATTCCACCCTGACGGGGTTAGCATGCACTCATCCCCAGAAATGGACATGACATACCAATGTTGAATATATTGACCGTCAGAACTCGGTACTGCAGCGGTACAAGATACAGATTCACGGTCTGCAAGGCGGGCCAGATCGTCCAGTTGGTCCGGAGGGCCTCCCAATACGTCTTCTTCAGCTTCTCCTTCGGATCACCTCCTTCCATGAGGGACATGCTGGAGAGGAAAACGCCAATCATGGTCGGAGCACAAACTAACTGGTCCGTGGCGACGCGAGCCACGAGGGTTTTCCCCGGAGTGCCCAGATGGATGCGGTTTTGCAGAAATTGAAACCATTTGGTGGCAACCGGACCGAACACAGCTGCAACAAACTCAGTCATACAACTTCAACACAAGCACAAGTGCGGCTCACCTCCACCGTAGAGTGCCATGCGGGCAGTACGGGTTACATCATGTTGAGCAATGCCTTTCTTCTCCACCCCTTGCTGCGCGAGACCGTCGCCCACGGCGAAGAGACACTTCGGACGCTCGTTAGCGACCGCAAACTAGGTTGGGAGACTATAACAGCATTACATACCGCTGTGGTTAAACTTTGGGTCAAGACGGGGCGCTGAATTAAGCTTCGTTGATACCTGCGTGCATTGCATCAGGACCAGGTAGCGTACCGAGGGGGGAAATGGCTTACCAACTGAACATTGTGCAGCAAGAGTTTGAGGGTGATTTGTCCCGAATGGAAATGTACCTGAGAGGGAAAGAAGAATGAACTCCTTGAGAAATCCACGATTGAATGTTGACAAAAACCTGCATTCCAAGGACTGTGACGCAATGTCGGAATGTTCCCGATTCGGAAACCCATCCGCCACTCGCCGCCGTTGATCAACATGTCTCCACCAGCGTCGGAGTTGAACGATAGTAGTCAACGGCTGTCCTTAATGCGTGTTAGACCATCAAATAAGTTGGTATTGAATCAGACTGTCAGGGTCTCTGACGTGCGTATCGCTCTGGAGCCGGAAAGTAAGTGCTGAATGAGAAAACCGTCCCATTCGACTGCCCCAAAGAGTTCGGACGTCAATGTTGTCTTTATATATAGTACCTCTATGGCGGGATTTTCTGGTTGAAAGCACAGTTCTCTATGGCCCTTGTACACGACAATGTATACAGAGTATTGAACCAAGGACACTCTTGTCAGCTTGCTCCCGAGCCACTTCGTAGAATTTGCAGAAGAATGCTCTAAATTGCGCTGCCAACTTCATCGAGTCGTATAACATCCCTTCCTCAAGAAAGTCTCATTCCAGTACAAGTCCAGCAAGCGGCCAAGACCGCATCCGACTGTCCGGATCGTTAAAGACTCATAAGGTCGAATGCAGCAACGGTGACGGTAGCAGCTTCCTGTCTTTTGTTCGTGCGAGAGAGTACATGCTGCGCCTGCGTCAATCAAACCAGCTCTCTCCGATCATAGCCATGATGATATCTTGGCCCGCTTACAGAGACTCGAAGACCTCGTTCTCCGATCTCATGGGGTTGATGAAAGGAGGAGCAGTCCTGCAACAAGTGTCGCGGCCGTGGCTCCTCCCTCATATATCTCCGATGCGAGGGTGATACCAGGTGGCTGGAAGGTATTGGCAGTCGTGGGGCCTCAATCATGTGATTGAAAGCTCTCTAGCATTTCTCTGGTGACTGGTGTACGATTAGATATCAGGTTTGTCCAACAGAATATCTTTTTGCACGATATCTCTTCAGCGGGTGTTGCCCATCAGAATGTCTGGACACTCGCCTGGGTCGGGACTCGGGAACACAGTGATGAGCATCTGGTTCTCCCCAAAAATGAGACCACTTGGCTGCTTGAGCGCTACAGAATACATAGCTTTTGTACATTATGTTGTGCACATGCCATCTGCTCGCCTTATCCTGGAGGATGTGTACAAACAACTGTCACTGGAATTGAACCTTGTGCCAGGCCATGTCGTCCTCCTATCGAGCATCTCTGCCAGCGCCGCATATAAGCTGGAGCCAAAGACTGCCGAATCACTCTTTCTCAATCAAGCAAACGCTATAAGTTGTGCTACTATCTGGACGAAAGCGGCTCTCAATATTCTGGAGTACTCTTGTCGCAATCCTCAAGGCTCGATTGAAGATGTCCAGACAACAATTATTTCGTCGTCCATTCTTTTTCAATGTCGAAGGGTTTCACCAAGGTTCCGTGTAATGAGCAGTAGCGCTCTGATAATGGCCAAAGGCTTGTCACTTCATCGTATCGATGCAGACATTTCTAAAAGGAAACAGAGCCGCGATGGGGGTCACCGCTATCCTCAGACCGTTCGTTAGCGATATATCATAGCCAGCAGCTTTCACTCCTGTCGAGCCAAACTGAATCAGCCATTCCTTGCTCGTATATCGATGGATGGGCGATACGACTACTCCAGAAATGTCTCTCTGCAATCCGCTCGAAGCATCATCAACATGAACAAATCAATAAGGTAAGATACCGGCCTGCTGTCATTATCATCTATGGACGTGCGGTTGGCTACATTTCTCCGGACCTTCTTCTTGGCCACCACTGTCCTCGTTACGGATTTGTGTATTGATAAATATGAAGACAACGAAGGTCGGCGACAAGAGGTTATGGAGGCAAGTGGTGTGTTGAAGTAGGCCGATGAAACATCTCCTGTCGCTGGTCGGTTTTTGAAGTCACTCCTCGATATCCTCCACAATTACCATATCCAGGTCTCGCCACTAATCTCGAAAGGATGAGTGATTTGGATGGGATGTGGCAAAGCTTCATGGACCTCGGAGACTCTGATATTGTCACCAACTGGGACGATCTGTTTTCTGCCCTGGACGCTAAAACTTTGTAGCGTCGAGCTATCCTACTGAATGAGAGTGTGTTTCTATCTTTTCTGGTTCTCCTCGTCGCGAAGATTTCTCAATGGGTCCGCTTCTGTAAAATAGCTATGATTCTCCCTTCCGTAGCAGTCAATAAGCATCGCGCCCGAAAATTATGTCAGAAGCTTGTACACAACCCAGAGATATGCCATGGCGTCCAATTCTAAGAAATCTAACAGGGTTATCTTCGTATGATGTCTACTGATGCCTATCAACCATTCTTCAACGTTCGCAGATTCGCAATCGACTGCCAAGATTTACTGTGACTCATCTCGTACTTGAGCTTACAAAGACAAAGATATAATAAGAGTCTTCCTCACACATCCCATGGTCCAGCACATCCTCATATTTCTTTTGTACATCTTTGTCAGTGCAAGAAAATAATCTTGCCGAGCAATCGAGCGCCCAGTGTATACCAAGACGGCGGACTCCAAACCACGGAAACACACATCAGAATTGAACTGAGCTCACGGGCAATCACCATCTCGTCAGCGATCCTTACGCCATGACGTTACCCATCGAACCTCAGACCTGGACCAAAGATGCGTTCTTTGTATCAACGGATAAAACCCTCCTCTCAGTGTCAGCCATCAACACGGCGTTCGATAAGGATTTCATGTACTGGACGAAAAGCTACCCCGAGGATATCCTAAAGCAGATCATTGAGAGTTCCTTTTGCTTCGGAGTGTACAAAACCACGCCGAAGAATACTGGCCAGAATGGGGAATGCAACGGCATCTCAACTGATGGTCCAACCAACGCACAACAGAATGTAGAACAGATCGGATTCGCGCGGCTTATCACGGACAATGTTACATTCGCATATCTGACTGACTTGTATATCCTCCAAGAATATCAGGGTCACGGTCTTGGAGGCTGGCTAATCGATTGCGTGGATGAGGTCTTGCGGCCGCTGCCGCACTTGAGGTGGTTTATGTTGCGGACGTCGGCAGAGAAGAGCAAGCAGGCGTACGAGAAGCGTTTGGAGATGAGTGTGTTGGATACGAGCTGTGTCAGTGAGGGAGGAATCATGATGGGGAGGAAGGGGAAGGCCAATATGGCTTGATTCTTACTGAGAATTGGCGATTGAGGTGGATCTGTCGGAAGGATTAGCTTGACAGCGTTCAGGATGTCAATATGTGCCTCTCGGAAGAACACGCCACTAATGTATATGTCAAGGTTTATGCAGCTGCCAGGGGTAATGTACGAAATATACTTTAACATTCCTACATAATGCGCACCATACAGTTCGTAGCTGGCCGAAGAGAGCAAGTTGTCCATCCTGCGTTGAGTCAGGTCTCTTCAGAGCCACTCTGACAACCGAAGTAGAGACCACACATGGTTTCACGTCGTGCTTCTCCCTCTGCGAACCATTGCTAACTACTCATCAGAATTTCCACTAATGAAAGGGCCATCTGGCGGCTTGAACCGACAATACTGCCGTCTATCTGATGAGCTGGTCCCACTGGGATCATTTCGGTAGAAATGGTCCAAGCCCAGCGGCCTCCCATCCTCGCATCACAGTCGGGATTTCGCCGCCAGACATTAATTATCAATCAATTCCCTCTGTGTGCCAAGAGCTCAACAGGTCCTTCTTCTTATCAGATTGGACCATCCAGTCTCTGGAGTCTTGAAGCCTCCACCGGTTCCACTCGTCTGTCTCGGAGATAATACGCAGACCCTCAGCAAAGCTCGGCCGAGATAATCATATAGGGCATAGACTCGGAGATTGAAAACATAATCTTATCCGATAATCACCACCAGGAGAAGAAATCTATAAATGACCATGCAGATCCTTGTCGCTTCGAGTGAAGTAGCCTGTGGATGAGACCGCTAAGCCGCGCATGCTGGGGAACATGGACGCCCATCCTAATATCGATTAATTTTCTGCAGTCTTGGCGACGTCTGGACACAGGCAGTCCGCTTCGCAGATCGACGAACATGTTGCCTATCATGGCACACATGCAAAGCAAGCCTCAGCTGATGTGCCACCGTTTCATAACGCTTGATTATGCACTGGGCAGTTGCCCACTAGCTGGTTGGTCACTGGATCCACAAGCGCAGGCTTTCCGCTTGGCAGAAGGCCGTCAATTCGCATAAATACCATATCCCCATCTTCCTCGCTTAAGCACTGTTCCCTCGTCAGGACCACCAAAGGAACATTTGAGCACACAGACATGCGCTGGCTTACCTCTACGGCATGGGCCCTCGCGGTGGGCTCAAGCTTGGCGACGGCCCACAAAGCGATGCACTTTGCAATGGAGCAAAACCTCGAGATGATGCCCCATACCCATTCGGCTCGGGGACTACCAGCTCCCGGCAAAAAGGGAGTGATGCTTATGAACCGGATTGGTCCGTCGTCATCGGAGCTGTACGTGGCCAATATCGACGGCAGCAACGAGCAGAAACTGCTGGGAAACAACTCCAGATTCGACTACCATGCTTCTTTCTCACCCGATGGACAATGGATTACCTTCACCTCGGAGCGCAATGGCGACGGGAATTCGGACCTCTACCGCTGTCGCGCGGACGGCTCCGGGCTGGAGAAGCTGGTGGCAACCCCCTCTGTCGAGGATGCAGGTGTGCTGTCGCCCGATGCCAGCAAGGTGGCATGGGTCTCCACAGCGAACGGATACACGACCAATGTCTGGGTGATGGATCTTACGACGGGCGAACAACGCAACCTCACCAACCTGGAGGGAGTCAAGGGTGACCCGACGAAACCCAATGGCTTCTTCCGTCCCAGCTGGTCGCCCGATGGCGAATGGCTTGCGTTCTCCTCGGATCGCAACACCGAATGGCGTGGACACGGGAATGGTACAGGCTGGGAGCATACACAGGAGTTGTCGGTGTATGTCATCCGGCCAGACGGAAGGGACTTTCGGAAGATCGCATCCAAGGAGGGCTGGAGTCTAGGGTCTCCCAGGTGGTCGCCAGATGGCTCGCGGATCATCTTCTACGAGATTACGACGGAAAACACATGGGACGCACATCGGCCCGAATCGGTCGCCAGTGCCACTTCGCAGATTGTGTCCGTCGACTTTGCTACGGGACTGGATCGGATCCAGCATACGAGTGGAACGGGGGTGAAGGTCTCTCCGCAATACGTAACCGCAGACAATATTGGGTACCTGGTGAAGGGCGGATCGAACGAAGGCATCCACTACACGGCGGAGAGCTCAACTCGCGCTGTGATCAATGGGACAATGCGCTCGCCGTCCTGGTCGCCGGACGGCAAGTCCGTTGTCTATGAGAAGTCGGAGTTCGAGGCGCGTGCAATGGAGAAGAAACTCTACAGCTGGGATCCCGAGTGGGAATACCGCTTTACCGACGTGTTCCCGGATCTGTCGCAACAGGGTCGACTGGCGATCACACAGAAGCAACTCGGCAACTCCAGCATCGTCACCATGAGACCCGACGGAATGGACCAAAAGCTTGTCTTCGACCCACTGACCCAAAGCAACATCAGCTCCAGCGAGGTCGGCCAGGGCCTCGCCGGCGCATTCCAGCCCACCTGGTCCCCCGATGGGGAATGGATTGCCTTTGGTATTGGGGCCTGGTTCCAGTCACGCGCGACGGGGAAGGGATACATTGCGAGAGCCAAAGCAGACGGATCATATTATGAGATCCTCACCAACGGTACAATCAATGCGGGATTCCCTAGCTACTCGTTGGATGGACGATACTTGGTCTACCGCGTATGGGGTGCGGAGTTTGGGCTTCGTATCATGGATGTGACCGATAAGAGCGTTCGCGTTTTGACTACCACCCGGGACAACCTTCCATTCTACTCGCCTGATGGGCAGCGAATCGTCTTCACACGTCGGACGAGCTACACCAACTTTGACGTGTGTACTATACGTCCGGATGGGTCGGACCTGAAGGTGCTCACATCGAGCGGAGCCAACGATGCCCATGCGACATGGACAGCGGACGGCCGCATTCTGTATGCAAGCGGCATGTACGGATTCCGGGATGAAGCCGCCATTTATGACAACACCTTCCAGCCGTACGGTCAGATATTCGTCATGAATGCAGACGGCTCGAATAAGACTATCCTCACCGACAGTATCTGGGAGGATTCGATGGCGTTGTACCTACCCAATGAGGTGCTTGAGTAGAGCAGTTGCGGCATCGCTCCCACAGGATAAGAGGTCTTTTAGACGGACTATACAACAAGTAGTACCACCGGTAGCGACATCGAAGGGGTTGAAAGAATGAACCACGTTCGTCAGGTTGAGGCCATTCCCAAGTCCTTGTTATTCGAAGCCGAATAGAACTTCACAGCCCACAAGCATGTGTGCAAGAGTACAGTAAGGTAAACTCAGTGAAAAGGTCTGTCGTCCAACTGTTAGCCCCTGTATCCCCGTGCTGAGATGACTACATATCCAAACAGCCGGATTTATGGAACCGACAAAGGACCGAGTCTTACCAGATTATGCACATGTAACAAGAACTATGAGTGTTTCAAAACAGATACGCTAAGGGAGTAGACTGGTAGTTCGTTATAGAGATGAGAGCTATGTACACACAGGTATGCTTTATACACAATTCGTATGAGGAACGCTGCGTTGCCTGGTTCACAATGCGAAGCACCGCTCGACTGAGTCCGCATTATTGCCCCACCAGTTGGGCATCTTGATTTGCTTCCCGGAGCCAAAGAACAGGAAGATCAACAACATGTTCAGATTGAAGCCGGCATCGAAGGCAGCGGCAACCATGTAGCTGTACCGTTTCCAGGTCTCGAACCGACGTCGATAAGCCCAGTACATAACCACGTATCCTCCGATGATGGCCGATGTATATCCGGTGCTGATATTACCGTAGAAGACCGATAAACCAGAGAAAAAGATAGTGACGTTCCACAAGTCCACTCGCAATCGTGGGAAGCAGCGGTGGAGGATGTACAGCATGGGGGGGATCACGGCTCCCACGACGAAAGAGTACGGGAGAACCCTCAGTTCAGGGTTCTCAAACATCTTCCGTGGTCCAATGACAGCATATTGCACTCCGAGAGTATTGGAACCTATGATGGATTGACCGGTCCACTGGTTCAGCGGATCCTTCTCGACCCCCTTGAGGATGTTGCCCTTCGTGTTCAAGACCCAGCGAATCACACCGTAATTCACTGGAATCCCGAGGACAGTCCCAAAGATTTGAGAGAAAAAGACCGTTCGCGGGGGAATATGCATATAATGTCCGATCTTCTGATCTTGAAGCATGTACTGGGCCCGATACCAAGCGTCGCCAGCGATCGCTCCGTAGGTAGAAGGTCCACAGGGGTGGCGATGCGACGCGCCTGCTTTCGTGTGGACCATATACCCGTACAGCATCTCGTTGAATGTTCCCACCGCGAGCTGATAGTTGGAGATTGCGTACAGCCAACCAAAGGGGAGGACGAAAACCCCGGCCGTGGCCAGACCGACGAACAGCGTCCAGACGGGGATCCAAAGGTATCCGCATGCGGTGGCCACAAGAAGGATGATAAACCCAGCCAGGAAAAGGGCTACGTACCACCATAGTGGCACCTCCTTGTACTGCCTCTGCAGCACGTTGAGACGATCATGATATTGATAGTTGATGTTTTGGCCTTTAGCCTTTTCCGACTTCCGACGGGACGCAATGGCCTTCTTCAGATTCGATTTCAGCTGGTAGTACCCGAATGTAGCGATCCAGGTAACCGCCGCGGTCACCTTGGCATAGTCGAAGAATGTAGCCCAGGCATTGTGAAGCCCCATGTACATGAGACCGTGTTCTTCGTACGCGGTTTGATTCAAACGAAAGTCGGGGGTCAAAACGTCGAGGACCGGATACTTGGTGCCGTTGGCCATGAATAGCGAGTTCGACATCAGGCCGTGCTTGTATGAGCCCAGATTCCCCCACTTGGCAGCTGGAAGGAGAACCCAACAGCTCACGACATACGCCAGGAACAAAATGACCTGTGTCCACCAGGGTGTCAGTAGAATCGACGAGCCATTCCAGTTGATGTTCGACCAATCGAAAGTTAAGTTGAGAAAGCCCATTCCCCCGAGACCTGAGCCAATGAAGTTGGCTACGGGGTTGTGGGGAGCGACCCAGCACAGGAACGCCAGGGAAGAAGTGAAAGGAAACACATATTCGGGGAGGAATTGCCATAAGGTCATTCCCACCAGGGAAAAGAAGAAGATTTTGAGCTGACGCCGGGCAAGGGGCGACGACACATCTTGCTTCCGAAAGGTCTCGAAGAGAGTGGTCTGCATGAGGGCCTGTGGCCAGACGTATGTGGGATCGTAGAGGAGCAGCTGGCGCGCGATGGCTGCAAATGCGTACCCAACCCACACAATGGCGAACATGAAGAAGATGGCAACGGCCGGATTGAGCCTTTCACCGTAGAAGAGCTCCGCCAGTGCAATGGGAGTATAGCCCAGGTTATACGTGGCGCCCGACGCCGCGGTCAACGTAACCAGCACATGTTCTTTGGCACTCCACGGCGCTGGGTTGAGGTTGAAGGACCACTTTGTGAATGGCACACGAATCTCCCAGGCTGGAAACACCCGTGCAAAGAAATTTCCGACGTAATGGGTTGCAATCTGGACGAAGAAGATCGAATACGGTGCCTGCGTGGTACGAAAGTGGCTCATCTGAGACAGAAAAGCCCCGGGAACGATGAAGATGATCGACAGGAGGAAATATCGGAAGGTAATCGTGGGTAAGGTCGGATCATCGGTGAGACTGACCAGCTGTCGGACCTCACGGGGTAGCGCTGCGATCTCTGGATCCTCTTCCGTCTGCTGCTCTATCGCATCTGTCTCGCTGAGTTTCTTCACGTGTTCCTCATCGCTGGACGATCGCTCGTCCACCGACGCCAACTTCTTGTCCGCATTGGATATCCGGTCGCTGTCCTTGTCCGTGACGGGTGAGGGAGCATCCAAGGGGTCTTCCGTTGCCCTCGAGAACTTTCGAGAGACTGCAGATAGTACCATCGATGCTGGATGACGGTGACCTTTGTCACTGGATTCGATGAACCTTCAGCACACGTCGAGGGCGTTCTGGCCACGGTTTTCGCGGCGAGGACTCGCTGTACGGCACACACACACACACCCATCGTGCCCACCAGCGAGCCACTTCCGTTATAGATAAAAAGAAACTCTTCGCCCTCATCGACCGGGCAAAATGACGTGATCGGGTTTTCATGAAGCCACCGCAACCCCAACCGGATGCGGAAGCGGTGCTCAATGCAACGTTGATTCAGACCCGTTCCCACTTTTACATGGAAACAGCACGAGAACAATGCTTGACTGTAGCCAAGTTGCGTGCAAGCAAATCCAGCGGGTCCATCTGGTAGGCTCTGGCCTCACACGCCGGCTCTGCTTGGCAAATGGCGTTATCGGAGGAAGCGCATTCGTGATTGTCGACTTCGTTCTGTATATAAACTAGGGTGGAGAAAGCCTGCAATCTAGGCCGATGATTGGCTGCGCGCCGACCAACACGGCCCGTGACCGACGCGACTAATTTAGTCTAGCGCCCGCTTGTCCCAATCCGGCCATCGCCCAACCCTAATTCTTTTTTTCATTTTTCCTTTTTTTTTCTCTTTCACCACAACGAGAAGAAATCTGGATTCAGACAGAAGGATCAGCGTGAGAATCCCCTGGACTGACCTTCGGCATGCCGTCTCCCCGTAGAATCAGATCTCATATCCCCGTCAATCCGCTCCGTTCCGACAGGATCTGGACAAGGCCATCCTGTCCTTGACTTGATCGAAACACCTGCAGATTGCGTGCTCGCGTTGCCCCGTCGTAGACCATCGGAGAAGGAGGAGCGTTGGTCATGTTTTCAGGTTGGGCTGGGGCTTGCTTGATTGTCTCGGATCCTAGCGTGCATCCCACAAATAATAAACTAGCTAAGCTCCGACGCTAGGCCGTTCGAAGAAAAAAGAAAGTGGCGGCATCTCTCCGAATGGAACGGTTCCTGAGCTGGAAAAAAAAGAAAAAAGAAAAACAATTCCTTGGTGACTTCAGGCGGATTCAATATACCCCTCAACCCAGTATGGGCAGTGGTCATCTGAACCCCCGAAAACGCCACCAATTTGTTTAGTCAGTATATCGTTTCGAAGAAAAATCCTACCCATGTGTCCAAGGCGTGTTAAGCGACATATCGGGGCAGAGAGAACAAGGTCTCAATGTTTGCTGGGGAAGAACGAGTCGTACAAGTGTAGTAGTTAGGGCATGCCGCATCACCCGTATAGGCAGCACGATACCCAAGGCAATATTCAACCCCTTCGCAAGAACGTGATCATTGAGATAAGCCAAAGTGTGAACGTAACCTTGCAGATGTAGCTGCACTTGCAGTAAAGGTACTGTAAGGCTTACTGGCCGATTCAGAATTGGCGATAAGCGGTTTTCATCTTCCTCGATTCCCTCGTACACGTCTTTGTAAACAGACGTCATCTCCCCCTTGCCGAACTGTCATGGCCCTGCAGCATATCTCATGATTTTCTCATCGTGCATTGCGAGATATGTCCCATCCACGAATAGAGTCGCATACATTCTCCCGCCAATCAATGCGTGACCTCACTTCGCCCAGCCGCATTGTAAGAAATAGCTGTGCCTCACCGGTCCTCTTGTTCGCCACCATCTTGGTTTCGTTACTCTTGACAGGGAGCTTCAAGACGCTCACTGCCGTGGAAGTCGATGGGTAAGCCGAAGTCAGTTGCCGCGGAGAATAGGCGCGACAACCAATCCTTCGTCAATAGCTATCGCCTCCGAGGACAAAGACAAACCGATCCTCAGACATTGTGTATACCCATTGCTCACTCCTCGCCTCATCCCATAACAATTTGTTGTTGTATGGAGAGCATCATGAGCGAAACACTCGGCAGGTTAACCCACGGGCCCCTCTAGAGGACCTTAGATTTAAGCTCCTTCTTCTCATTTTATCCATTGATGGAATCTTATGAGTTATTGACCACGTTAGATTCAAGGAACTGACCAACATCACCATATGCTGTCACTTCAAGTCTTACACCTTTAGAAAAGGAACGAACCGATAAACGGAAAGCAAGAGACAACACCGCGGGATCAACTTCTCCTACAGCTTTTCGAGCTCACTGCCCGCAAGCGGTGCCACAATCCAAGAAGCATACATGCAGGAGTCTACAGTATCTCAACAGGTCGAGACTCTACTTCTCCTCCACCTCTGCAAGATGCTCCGCTCCTTCGTAAAATTTAGGCAAGGGCTCAAGCTTTTGCCGTAGAACCCAGACGCGGAAATGCCAGGCCGCATTCTTGAGTTGGTACATCGCATGCTTCCGAGTCGGCACTGAGAATACCTGATCCAGTTCCTCCAGGGTGAGGGCTATCAAATATCAGTAATTGGCCAGTGCCCCAGGTGTGACTAAGGATAACTTACATTTCGTCTCCGGCACGAATAGCAGGACAAGAACCCATCCAATCAAGCACCACGCAGCATACCAGCCGAAAGCTCCTTGTGGCTGGAAGGCGCGCAGCAGTGACGGCCAGGTGAATGATAGGATGAAGTTAAAACACCATGTGGTGGCCGTAGCCCAGGACATGCCGACTTCACGCACATGCAGTGGGAAGGCTTCAGCAGAATATGTGAAGGGCACAGGTCCTTCACCAGGCGAGTAGAATACTTCGAACAGGTACATGCCTGTTGTCACCATGGCCACCCGTTTTTTACTGTATCTGACCCCTTCTTCGATCCAAAACGAAAAACCGGCCCAGAAAAGAAAGATGGCCAGAAAAGGGAAGGTAAAGAGCAGGAGGTTGCGTCGGCCCCATGTGTCGATCGTGAAGAAGGCCGGCAGCGCAAAGACCCAGTTCAGGATACCTGTTCCCATCGACGCTAATAACGCCTGCTGAATCGAATACCCTGATTGGGTGAAAATCGTCGTCGAATAATATGCTATTACGTTGACTCCGCAGAACTAAGGAGATTAAGTCTCGATTAGCCTCTAGTTATATGCGCAGAGTCATCATCGATGAGTTCTCGGGCTATCCCTCGAGATGCGGGAGGTGAGAAAGCTTCTTGACCAATAAACCCGGGTCCAGAAGCACGCTGGTATATCTCACCCGAGCATTCGTGGGGAGAATCAGCCTGCAGTACCCTACTTACCTGTTGCAAAAACATGACAATCCAGGTGGCAAGTGTTGCACGAGCATTACGGGGGATGGTGAACAGCTCTAGGAACATTGTGAAGAAGTTCTTTCCCTTATTCACCTCTCTTTCGAGCTCAACACCGACATATGCATAGTACAAGTCGCGTGCTGCTTGAATATCTGTAGGGCGAAGGATGCGGAAAGCCTGGAAGGCCTTGTCGATCTTATTGTGCTCAATCAACCAACGAGGAGATTCAGGACAGAGGTAGACCTGCGCACAAACGACCAAAGGCAAAACCACTGTGGAGCCTAACATCAGGCGCCAGGAGAGGTTGTCCGGCAAGCCCATGAACGCAACACCCATGATGTTTCCCAGCATGATACCAAAAGCGGTCCACATCTGCCACATCATGACCAGCGCTCCTCGGATGGGAGCGGGCGCACACTCGGCGGCATAGACGGGGACCGTAGACGATTTCGAACCGATGCCGAGACCAAGAACGAAGCGAGCGATAAACAGGTTGACCCAGGAGTTGCATACACCCTCCCAGACTGAGGCGACGGCAGCAATGAAACAAGACACCCAAATTGTACCGCGCCGTGCCAAGTACCTATTCATAGGCTCTGTGAGCCAACAGCCGATGACTGCACAGGCCAGATAGGGAGCGCCGACGACGAGGCCAGTGATATATTCGTCCGTAATATTGAGTTCCTTCGCACCAGATCAGCATTGCAGTCGTGTTCAATGGAGTCTATCTCACCTTGAGGTAAATGGCTTGTGCGCCATTGTTGACGGTTTCGTCCATACCTTGAACCGCGGCAGCCAACGAGCACATGGCTAGAACCTAATTAGCATAGTTCAGACAGTCCGATAATACAAGGGCATGCCGCGCTCAGCGACTGATTCCAGTACGTACACGCCATGAAGTAGAGCTGCCAAGGCTGCGACCATTTATGAGTGTGCTCGCGCCGAATAGCCTCTCTCTCATCCTCGGCCAGCTCTGGGATATTGTGGGCATCCTGAGGATTCTGTGAAATCAGCGCTCCTTTACGGAAAAGATCTTTGTGAGCCTCCAGACCATACTGGACACAGAATCTATCCACGTCCTCGAGGAGCTGCTGGCGGGGGATGCCTTCCAGAGGGTTCTTGAAGACGGTGCTGAGTTTGTTGGCAGGTCGGCCCTCGATGTCGTAAATACTCGAGCGCCTTGGCTTCTCTGAATGCTCGGCTATGGGAGACACTTCATCCATGCCATCTATCTTCTTCTGGTGGCCGGCATCCGGCCCGTATTTATCCTTCATTGTAGAGGCTCTATGGGACTTAGAAGCCAGAATAGGAGAAGGGGCGTCTGAATAGCAGATCTATCAGGTATAAGAAAAGTTTTCAGGTGATTGACAGATAACTGGACTATCAGAGCACAGTAATCCTAATCTTCAGGCCAACTCGTGGCTTTCAGGTAGCCAGCATAGCTTGACCGAGTATCTATGATCTCACACGAACAAGATGCCCCCACCGTGAGATGCGGGGGATGTGTGTCCAATTTTATAGGACATACAGGGTAACAGCCTCGGTGAATGTCTTCAAACGGCCAATCAGGCTGGATCAGAGGGCCGTTCTTGAATCCTCTCAGCAGGCGCAGCCCATGCCGCTACTGGGTGGTGGAAAGTGGGTGCACAGGAGATTTGGTCTACGAATCATGAACTCAAAGGTGTCAGAATACGAAACTCAGGCTCCATCCACCATAGACATATGGGTTATACTAGGCAATAGTCTGGCAAGCCATCAGTGGGAATGATTGTTCCCCTGCTGACATCCCGTCGATGCTGTGACTTTCTAGCGTCAGGCAATAATCACGTACACATGGCGTTAGGCTGTCCTCAGCATCGCCGAAGCTAACGAGACCAGATCGGGGCATTTGTATGTATCATGGGAAAAGTATCAGTCGTCATAATGCGACCACGACTCATAGCATTGGCGCACGGTCACAATGTCTCGGCGTATCTACCAATGCCTTCTTTAATGGAGATTTCTCCCGATCAAACGAGCCATTTCACCAACGCAGATCCCCGTGGGGGGTCGCAATGTTTCCGTCCACCTGCAGAGAAAGCAAAGTGTGAGGGCCACGCGTGGTGGGGCACGGACGAAAACAATATACCACGAGTCAGACCATGGAATAGTCCAATTCAAAATTAACTGCCTGACTGGCGTTGGTCGCTCCTCCAATGGACTAAGCAACACGAAGCATTAGCGATGGAGCCTGGGAGGCCTGAGGCCAAGGCCGATCTGCAGGGTGGCGTCCAATCACGTGTTGGCGGAGCCCTATCTCTTGCGTCATGGGTTGGCTTCCGTGGGCTTCCATGGAGTAAGCCGCGATGTCTTACTTCGCTGTCACCTTGCTTTGAGGGCTGTGACGTTTATATGATCGTTGCGGCGCCATGGGCCCGTTCGCCCCAATTACCCCACATTGTAGCTGTTGCCCAGTGGGCGGAATTCCAGCAGATGTAGCAGTCTCTCTTTCACTCACACACACACACACACACACACACACAGGGAGGATGTTATTATTGGATGTAGGGGTGGATCCAGGTAGTGTCCTTTTCATGGATATATGCATGGATTCTCAAATGGAAGAAACATTATGAAACATGGGGAGAGACCAACCACTGTAAACTATTGCACTATGGAAAGAATGCAGGCAGCTGGTGTCGAGATCTGCTGAGCGGCTTGCATAGCTATTTGGGGTATAAAAGCCTATGTCACGGTTTCTAAAGGTCTCACTCAAGAGTTTTTGAGTACTTCTGACACGTAGAGTGACATAATTTCCCGCTCACAAGACCGGCTGGACAACAACCTGAACGGGTTGCTGTAATGAATGGAGATTTGCCTAGCAAGTCTTTAGTCGCCGTCTACATCGTGGGCGAACCCTTTCCCCAGTTATACAGATGAATCATTCTGTAGTCAATCACCTTGATTGTTCGTGTACGACAGCCACAGGTGCCGTGATTTATGTTTCTTGTAAAAGGAATGTTCCAAAAATAAACAGAGAAAGAGAACCACTACTTGTATATATGCCAAGTTGTTAGGACACGTGATCGATAGGCCTGCCGGATAGTATGAGATGGCAATACAAGGTCAATAGTCTATCGAATTGCAGCCGAACGTACGTTTTATCTCTCTATATATGCGGTGCCCATCAGAAACTCGGTTCATCGGGGCAACAGGATAGAAAGGCTACACGAGGGAAGAGAGAGATGGATGGTTGTTGCAAAGGTAATGGGGTAGAAGGAGGGTCCGAATATGAGCATTAAAGGTATCAAAAGGAGGCGGAAGAGTACCCAACAGTAGTTATAAAGATCTCGAGATTTCGCATAAAGGTAAGAACTCTGCGCTCAGGTGGCCTTGGGGGAGACTCGCGCTGCTGGGTCAACCATCACCTCAGGACTGCAATTGGACATATGTGGTCGTTCTACGCAAGGCTCATTCCTTCCACAGACCAAGGGAGCACATAGCAGTTCCCCGACTTCATACGGACCTTTCCTTCCTGGCTACTCCCCCATATTGGTCTAGAATTGGTAAGCTTCCAGTTCACCAACTGTGGATCCCACCTGTTGGCCAGACCAAAGACGGCAGGCTCAGCTCCGTAACTGACTTCAAAGGTTGTTGACTAGCAGAAGTCGATTTTTCGATTGCTCAAGTGAATCGCCAAATTCAAGCTCCTTTAAAGGCCGGTCCTTATTATGCGAACTGGGGAAACCGTGTTGCAAGTCAAGTAAAATGCCGGATGTCCATTTGGGGCGCCGGAGACTTTCCATTTTGCGTAGGTGCCGAAACTAAGGTTAATTCCCGAGGACCTCGTTAAAGGAATGGATCCACATTGACTCTTCCGTTTTTCCACTTCTCGCTCGTATCGGGTACTATCGGGGCCCAACTTAGTCCTCCCCAGGAACCAAAAATAAGCTCACACACGAGGGCTGTGGGTCTGGGGCACAAGGCCAAGTATCCATTGCATAGAATCGAGCCTCAACCGTCAGGGGCCAAGTGAAGATGGGTCAATCCTGGACAGTGCCGAAAGACGGCCGATCCAAGCCATCGGATGGCTAGGTACAATTGGCCGCTATGACCAGTGAGTGGCACTATTACGAAGTCAGTCCCGTACTAGTGAGAGAAAGCTATGTATCCCACTGTGGAGGGCTCATCTACCGAGTGAGAAATGTGATGATCAATCATCCACTACACGCAAGAGGGATAGTGTACCAATCAATTTGACTGGGGCACAGACGTCCCTCTACCTGAGTAATTGATTAGCAAGAACCCTATTCTGTGATTCGTCTTATAAAAGATGCGGAGCAGGCAGGTCATGAACCACACGTTTGGCCGTTCATCTCGTCGAAATGGCGGATGACAAGAGTGAGGCAATTATCATCGTGACGTCCATCTCTCTAGGGCTATCCTTGCTTGCAGTCAGCCTTGGATGCTACGTCCGACTGCATCTCATCCGGGCTTTTGGCGCGGATGACTATATGATGATCCTTGCAATGGCATTCAATCTTGCATTCGCTATCCGTGGCATTGCCGGCGGCTCAACAGGGCTGGGAAAGAAGATAGAGTATTTTGCGGACAAACCGAACAACATGAGAGACTCGCTGCGTGTATGCTACACATTCCATCATAAGTTCTGTTTTAAATTGATCATGTACTCATCCAGTTCTAGTTCTGGTGGGTTAGCCAGGTATTCTACTCTCTGACGGGCACCGCTGGCAGGGCTTCCGTTGCAATTTCACTTCTGCGTATCACCATCGTTCGTTGCCTTGAGTACCGTGGTTGGCCTACTCCTCTTCTTCACGACCCTCCTCGAATGTCGCCCTATCCATTACGTCTGGGATCATGGGATGATGATTTCCCACTGCATCAGCAAAGACTTGCTTCTCGGCATCGTCTATACCCATAGTGTGATTGTTGCTCTGTGTGACCTCACCCTGGGTATTCTACCCATTTTCATGATCTGGAGGCTACAAATGAATAGACGTTTGAAAATGTTTCTCGGAGGCATTCTTGGATTGGGTTGTTTGTGAGTTCCTGAGCCATGCTGTGCATAATACGACGGGGAAGGACCCGTGGTGATTGATCCTGTCATGGCTTTAGGGCGGGCGCTGCGATTGTGGTTCGTTTACCATACAACAAAACCTTCACAGACCCGGACTGACTTTGTATGTACATCGCTTGATAGCAAGCAGCTAGGATTCGGCGAAATCCAACTAACAGCGCTGTAGATGGCACCGCCACCCTCTTTATCTTAGCGAATATCGAAGCCGTCCTCGGAATCACGGCTGGCTATCTGTCAACCCTTCGACCCCTTGTGCGAAGGCTGCGCGACGGCAGTTCCAATCCGAGTCAAGGAAGAAACACGGGGTCAGCCATCCACTTGTCCCGGTCACTTCTTGCCCGCAAAGAGAGGCAAAAGCTGTCCAGCCACGAATCTGGCACTCGCTGGGCAGATATTCCGAATGATGGATATAAGAACATCACCAACACGACTACAATCCAAGGTAGCCGTGCGGGGAGTCTCTCCTCAAGATATCTGCCACCAACGGTGACGGTGCAGACCACCTTTGAGGTATCTGTGGCGGAGCACCAGCCATGATTATGTCGCGTTTAGGATAGCGTACAGAACTTTCTGTAGGATAAGATCCAATACTACTTACCCATCATGTCTTTGTGTTTTACACACGGTGTAGAATGACTCTTTAGTCGTACCCCTGTGGTCATACGAACAGGATCTCCGATGATGGGTACCTTTATGGAACAACCTCAATCTCGGCTATCATGTCGCCGCAGATTTGTCCAAGGCTTTGAGCGTCAATTTCAACAACATTGGAAAGAGTACCGAACTTGAATGGCCCACCCACCCCTCCCTTCTGACTATGAAAGAACGACAATCAGATATTATTAATGACCCACTCCAACACCAAATAGATCCGCCTGGCCTGGAGGCTTCGACACCAGCGGACCCACTACTACTAGTAACAACTACGGCCGTTCTTTCCTGTCAACAAGGACCCAAGAGGGCAGGGACACCCAGTATGAACTACATCGAAAGAACTTAAAAACTTCAAAAGAAATATCGTGCGATATCATGGCTGAGGAGCGACAATTTCACCCAAGAAAACCCTAAGGAAGTAGTCTGTTTCGGAGGTAACTGTTCATCTCTGTGCATACACCAACCAACATGGGTCTGGAACTCTGCAGTCCTTGGAGAAAAGTCGTCAGGTCAATACACTGCATTCTTGACCCAATCCCCTCTTACATAATGCATGTCACCTGTGAACAGGAAGTTTTGTCGTACTTGTGATAGCTTCATTTCATATGCTGTTGCATTCTCCTCCATATCAACTTCTACAATCGAACCATGTGGGAGGCTTGGCTTTATCCCGACTTTCGGGGAAAGTAGCACTCAGTAAACTAAGAGTACTCGCGAACGTATGACTAGTACCGTTCGAAGCCGTTCCTGGTCCAAGGGCTGTGTCCTAGTGTCGGACGCAGGAACCGGAAGAGGACTACCCGATGGACCCTGGGAGAACCAAGAGATTAGGTTCTTCGTGTTGTGCCTTCAAACCCCAGGCTACGGGTTGGACTAAATGCTCGATCGACGCTTGGAAATTCTACCGGGGTGAGCTGGCGCAGGTGTTTTGGCAATTCTCGGTATGTGCTTTGAAGTTTGAACCGTGCGCCGATTCGGCTGCCGAATGATACATTATGCGAATATGGATATCTAATTGGCTCGATCGGGAATCTTATCATGGTACCCTTCAGCTCCTCGTAACGCAGGCCGTTCCATGGCTTACCATTTGACAACGAGGAACCCCTTGTTTCTGGAGCTATCAAGGAGAGTGATGTATGGAACCATGATCCATGGATTGACTTCGTCTATTGGTCGATGAGCATTCCGGAAAGCGTCTCACCCCCAATGTACGTATAGCCTCGGGTAGCGAGGAACAAGAATGAGAAAACACGTAATATTAAAGATTCATTGGCTGTGCACCGATTAAGAGTGCAGTCGGGAACCATGTTTCTCATCAGCATTCTTCCGCGGATGATTGAATGTTGTGCACGCGAGGCAGAATTAGAATTCCAATCAGAAGGTTGTCGAGTTGTTGTGATGCGTGAAGCAATCCGATCTGCCTGCGAAAGACAAGCCTACACCAGGGAATCCCTGCCAAAACCCCAAAGGAAACCCAGTGGGCCTGGTTTGATTGCAAGGTGAGAAGCAAGGGGTTAGGAATGAGACACAACAAACACAAAGCTGTTGGAATGTCAGGCCACACAATAAGGGACGAGGAGCAGTTAACATGATGTTTAAAGGGTGGGCACAGACTGACAAACGAACTTGCGCTCTCATCAGATTGACAATCCCTTCAGGACAGGTGGACAGTCTCTGCATGATACTTTTTGCTATTCCAAGTTCCCATAGTACGCAGAACTCCGGTTACTTAGAATGAGAGCTTCATTTCTTCTCGCAGCCATTGGCTTCCTCGACCAGCTACCATGTTCGGCTGCACAGACATTGAACATCGTTGCGCATCAGGACGATGACCTACTCTTCCTCAGCCCCGACATTCTGCATGAAGTTCAAGCTGGTCGCAGAGTGCGCACCGTTTTCCTAACTGCAGGCGACGCAGGGGAAGTTTCCACGGGCTACTGGGAGCAGCGTCAGGCGGGCTCTCAAGCCGCATACGCGCAGATGGCCGATGTAAGTGACATCTGGACGCAATCGGACGCTGGCATTGACGGGAAAAACATTCCCGCCTTTACACTTGCCGGGAATCCAGATATCTCCCTGGTCTTCCTGCAATTGCCCGACGGCAATGGTGTCGGAGATGGATTCCCGAATACCGGAAGCGCCAGCCTCCAGAAACTCTGGCAGTCGGAAATCAGTAGCATCCAAACGGTGAATGGATCGACCAGCTACACAAATGACGAGCTCATTGATACACTGGCGAGTTTGATGAGTGATTTCAGTCCGGATCGGATCAATACTCAGGACTACACCCATGAGTATGGTGGTGGTGACCACAGTGACCACTACACCACGGCGTATTATGTACAACAGGCAGCCGAACGATACTCCACCACTCATACTCTGACTGGGTACACGGGGTACCCGATCCAATCGATGGCCCAGAACGTGTTTGGCGATGATCTCCAGGCCAAACAATCCGCGTTCTTCACATACGCTGCGCACGATTCCAAAGTTTGCCATGACGTAGCCAGCTGTGGTGATGGCAACGAGGCACAGTGGCTGCAGCGACAGTATGCTGTCACTGGGAGCCCGTAGTGAATGCCCGTCTCCTTGACAACCGTCGGACGGTTGGGTTGGAGGAGAAGGTCGTGCTTGATGGTACGGAAAGTAGACACCCCAACGGTGACTCCCTGACTGACCAATGGACGCAGATTAGAGGCGCCGATGTTGCCCTCTCCGATGCCACAGCAGCGCACCCGTCATTCACCAGTCCTAAATCTTCGGAAACACTGGGGTTCTGCCTAGTGGTCGGAAGTGGAAAGACCAGGAGTACGCCAGCAGAGGTGACAGTTGTCACAACCCATCTGCAGAATGTTGCGCGCAACGCAACGGCGATCGCATCTTCGCACGATGCGGACCATGGCCAGACGGCGGGAAAGGCCCTGGATGTAACCATAGACGGCTATCCAGGAATATGAACCAAAGGATGGGCAACCGTGGGTGGAAAAGCTGGGAGCACTTTGAAGCTTACATGGGCCAAACCACAGTCGATCTCCGAGGTCTATCTCTACGACCGTCCCAATGTCAATGAGCAAGTCACCGGTGGCATTCTTCAATTTGATGATGACAGTACCATTCCCGTTGGTGCACTGGACAATTATGGGAAACTAAACAGGATTCCCTTTAGGGAGAGAACCACGCGCAGTCTCTTCTTCATGGTAACGTCCCTTAGCCCGTCCACTCGTAATGTTGGCCTGGCAGAGAGATAGAAGTATACGGGGCTTCATCCGGCTGGTTGATTTGTGCGGGTGTACTTGGATGTATGGGTGCGATGCTGTTTTCTCTGTCGTTCGAAAACTTGATTCGGTGGCTTGCCTCTTGTACATAGTATAGCGTTTTCATCCATATGATTTGCAATCGAGTAAAACTCTGAATACGTCTGTGTCGCGGATTCAAAGACCCCAAGGACTAACGGCTGAACTTCTGTCGATAGACTGACCTTCATCCTCAGGGCGAACAACGAATTTGTCGGCAAAATAGCCCTTCAGGCCCAGGGACAAAGACCACCACCAAGTCGGACGTGAGGGTTTCCCATGTCGTGGTACATAGTTCGTGTATTGGGTGTGAGAACTCCCCTCGACCCGTCGGTACCGACATCGCCACGAAGCTGTGCTTGTATGCCAGATGCAGTCCAGGAAGACGATATCAAAGAACGACTTGTAGACGGCCCAGTGCGTAGGGATGATATCGACTCCCGTGAAGATCACTGGCCTGCGCTGATTGAGCTGTTCCTTACGCGAGTCATGTCTTCGGTGGTCCATGTAAGAAGGATACCATTCGATTATTCAATAATCTTCGATATCTATCTATTGCCCCCTTGTTCATATTCCCATGCCTCAATCTCTCTCTCTCTCCTTTGTATCCCGCCCAGCGCATGCACGATGAGGATAGGTATGGATGTGCTGTCTTTCGATTGCGTTGCAGATGGGTTGATCGGGAAAAAGAGGCGCAGTCCTGGAGGCATTCACGTTGGTTTGGGGGGTACCACAATCGGTATCGGTGTTATTGAATCAGCAGCGAGTTCAAACATGCGTTACGGAGGGGAAGATGTTCCAATCCAGCACGACTTCCCCTCCGTAATGCGTGGAGAGCTTGTTGTCGAAAGTCGCGCTGGTATTCAGTGGGATTCAATCACGGTCTGAGAGCCGATAGTGTATTCAGCCAACACGGTAACTCCGTGGTCTATTTTTTGCCTCTGCACCTTCGAGGTTGCACGTTCGAAACTCGACCGCCACGGCGGATTATTCTTTTTATTCTCGCTCAACCTCGCCCCTTTTTGTATTTTAAAGTCAACCGATGACTCAGTTTGTGCCGCTGTGATTTTCCATGAATTTTCTGTAATTTTAAAGGCCGTGGTACTTCCGTTGTTGGTTTTACGTATATATGCCTGGATGCCAAGGGCAGATATATATAAGTGTGTGTGGCTGGATCGTGATGAAGCCTGGCGCTGTTGGACTGACCAAATCCACCCAAAACCACGAAAACAGATCGAGCATACACGAGACAGATACAAGATACCCATACGCAAGGAGCTGGACAGTGACAGTCAGCAATGCAAAAGCCAGTATGGCCAAGCGGAACGGCCGTCTGGATGCGTACACGCTCTATCGCCATGTCTTGTTGGGCGATCCCGACGTCAGAAACCTTCCACGGAGCCTGAGGCTCGCATCCTTGTTGGCAGAGCTTACACACCGGAGAATCATGGCCGGATATACGTATAACCCTCGACAGAGGACGGTGATATCGTCACGCCATCGGATTAGAAATCCACTCGCCCGCCCCCGCTGCGGTGCGTATATCTATAACATAATCCCCGTCGGTCGCCTCCGTCTTCCCCATCCTCTCGCTTCTCTCCCACCACTCGACAACAACCAAGGAACAACCAAGGAACAACATCAGAATGAGCACTCCAAAGATTACGCTGTACACCAGCCACCAGTGTCCCTGGGCGCACCGTGCTCATATTGCCCTCAAGGAACTGGGACTGGACTACGAGGAAGTCATCATTGACCTGACCAAGCCGCGAGAGTCGTGGTATCTGGACATCAATCCGGTATGTGTACTGCTACAATGCCTACGCCCGGCGAACATTCCCTGCATGCACATATTGACGTACATGCAGCGCGGCCTTGTCCCCTCCATCACCTATGGTGAGCACATCATCACGGAGTCCGCAGTTGTTGCCCAATTCCTGGCCGACGCCCATCCGTCGCACCTCCTCCCTCCGTCCAACAGCGAGAACGGTGCGATCCAACGCGCTCGCATCGCCTTCTTCGTCGACACGTTCTTCAGCAAGGTCCAACCCCACTTCCAGACGTCCTTGCGGGCCTCCACCTCGGAGGAACGGGACGCTGCTGCGGAGGCACTTGTCGCTGCGATCCAATCGGAACTGGAGCATCAGCTGCCGGAGGGTTCGGATGGCAAAGGTCCGTTCTTTGGCGGTAGCGAGAAGCTGACCTTGGCCGAGGTGCTGACCGGTTCATTCCTTCTGCGCATTCTCTCCTTCCACAGACACGGGTTGCTGAGTGAGAAGGTCCCGAGCTTGCTGGAGGACACGCCGCGGTTCAAACGGTGGGCGGAAGCAACCGTGCGGCAGGAGAGTGTGAACTATATTTGGGACGAGAAGGTGTCAGCGGATGCGATAAAGGCCAAGCTGGCGGCACTCGCAAGGAAGTGAACATGGAGAATGTGTCTATAAATGATTTCCGCTGCAGGAGCTTGACTCATTGATTGATAGCATGAATGGATGAATGAATGAATGAATGCGTGCATCCAACCCCGGAGTCACATGACGCGGCTCCACGCTCTCCCGGCTTCCGGCCAAAGTACGTAAGCATGTGCACGGTGCAAACAGTGCAAAGTACGGTCATGTCTGCCTTGGGCACCGACTCGCATCCCATACCAACGCTTTTATCGATGGAGATCCCACCCCAGAGCGTAAGCCCGATGGCCCCCAGGGGGAGGTAAAAAAACGACGACCATGTCTTGGTAGTTGTCAACTGTTAGGTGCGCTGATGTTCCATGTACAATATGCCCTGCTTGCAGAGCGCTCAAGTTTCAACATGAACATCTCTCCATCCTTAGGACCGCTGTATGCTCGCAGGATCCTTCGACGTCATGATCACCACCGTAGAGCGCTTGAAGGATTCATTTCTCTCTTCCCCTCTCTCTTCTGACCAACAAAAGGCCACTTGCTCCCGGGACCCGGGCTCCAATGGGCATACGCAGCTGTCTGATAGGCTACTCGCGAGCTGTCGGAACGAATGGAATTCATACAACTGCAAAGCCCAGCTGCCCAGTGTGAGCCAGACAGGGAATGCTTTCCGGTGAATGGATTCAAGGAACGATTGTGAGGGGCATATATAATTGGTTGTGTCTCGGCGTGGAAAACTTGCACTGCATCGCTCGACCTTCATGGCAACCGGGTGAGGGCTACAGTGGCAATATGCAGCGTTGGGTAAAGATACATAGAACGTAGTCTTGAATGAAAACTATTTCCTCGGACGCATCCTGTCGATCTATGTACGAATGGTGCACAGTCAAGTGAGTCACAGAGTCAGATTGTCGCCACTAGTGCTTATTCTGCCAAGCCCGGTATTGCCATTGCGTCTGGGAGTTGATGATGGGAATATGTCCTTATGCTTGACTAGCCATCGCTCTTGTACGTTACCGAGCGTATAAGGAAATCCCTCCCAGGTATCTGTTTCTCGCGTTGTGTACCCCCCGTTCAAAGCATCGACACCATGGCGATTATCGCAGTCGCAGGGGGAACTGGTAGTGTCGGCCAGACCATCGTGGAAGCCCTCGTGGCGCATGGCAAGCACACGATTCTCATCCTCACGCGCAAGGTGAGCCAGTCATCCCTGGGTTCCGGTCGCTGGGGTATGTTTGCGAGAGTCTGATACGTTGAGTACAACGGAAGCCGCACCACCCAGTCGACGAGCTCGCCTACCTGTCGGTAGACTACGGCAACGTTGGCGCTACAGCAAAGTCTCTCGAGGCTGCAGAGGTCCACACTGTCATCTGTGCGTTCGGCATGGAATCGGATGCCATCAGTGAGGCCCAAGTCAATCTTATCCATGCCGCAGACATGTCGGGGTCGACGAAGCGCTTCGTAGTGAGTGGGTACGATATGTTATTTAAGGATGAGTCCGTTGATTGTCATTCCCTCTGATGAGGATCAAAGGCGGCTGATGACAACCTTAGGCATATCCCTTTGGTGCCTACCGCAAAGTGGGCTTTGGCGGCGACTCACGCGGTCGAGGAATCGAGTCTCGAATATACGCGCGTGGTCAATGGGCTATTCCTGGATTATTATGGCCTTCCGCACCGGAGAAGCCATCTCAAACCATGGGTCAATGCAGTCAACGTGGCAGGGAAATGGGCAGTTCTTCCGGGCGATGGGACCTCTAAGGTCAACTTCATCACTTCCCAAGACATGGCACGGTTTGTCGCAGGACTCATGGACTTATCGGAGTGGCCGCCGGTGAGTTTCATTGCTGGCCAGACTGCATCTTTCAAGGATATTCTTCAATTGGCGGAAAATGCGCGAGGTACGATTAGTACCCCCGAAATGCTTAATGGAAATCCTTCCACTTACCTGTATACCAGGTGAACGCTTTTCTGTCAAACATGACAGTCTCGAAGACCTTCGAAATGGCCGAATATCCTTCCCCAAATTCGAGGAGACTGGGCTTGAAAGTAGTGGACACTCAACGGAGTCCATTTTCGCATTATTCCACTACATATCTGGCACCGGGGGATATACTATTACCAGCAATGATACTTTGGACACTCGATTTCCTGACATCCAGATTATGACCGCGGCGGAAGTCATCGAATCTTCCTGGAGAAACCGGTGATGAGCTTGAAATATAGTCTCTAACAGGTTCTACACTCTCTCCCTTACCTTTATGACTTGTTGGTGACAACTGGGAAATAATCCATCATCATGTGTATCGAATGAACCTTGAGTACGACTACTCAAAATAAGTATATCTATAAATGCGTTTATCACCGTGTGATGACCTACTCGTAGTATCTCAGTTTCCACCCCCACAAGCGACGGTGAAGTAGGGCAACAGTTTATTGCTCCTGAAATTCAGCGTGAGACTCAGAGTAGCCTCTCTGAGCTACGATGCTAATCTTGAATTAAAAGAGTGTCTCAGCGTTGGCATCATAAATGGCGCGCTACCGATCCCACCGCCGACGGTCGAATAGAACGTTCATTGTGTCCCTTACTCTCACAGTGCTGATATGCGAATTCCCAGAAAGCATGATGAACGAGCAGCTAATTGACTAGAAGACAGCGGATTATATCCTCAAGAAACAGGTAGCCCCATGTAGGAACTGCTCTATTTTCTCCTTTCGGCACGCTGTGGCATTGAGCGCGATTTGCATGTTCTATATACCTGTATACCAGACGTCCACATCTTCAACTATCACGGGCGATAGGGTGTCGATGCTATCGATTGACCTTCCTTCTGTCCGCAAATCTTGTGTTGAGTAGGCAGCTTCTCGCTCAGGTGCCACCTCGACTTCTGTTGCAAGTTACGCTAATATACGTCCGATGGATTGCAGTTACCAGCGTTCTGAACCTCTTCCATGCCATATACAGCATCATCAAACGCCCCAGAGCGGAATTTGATAGTCATGGTTTCCCACAGAAGTTTAAGTTCCCCCTAGTATGCGCGTTCATCAAGAACTCAATATTGGGTTTGGTACAGGGTTATGCTTTACCGGGAAGCAGCCTTCATGGCTAGACATTCCGTAGTCGGGCCCCAACAATTTAACGGAATCTTGATTAATTGATTGAGAAAGATGCTGCACCTGGTAACATATTGGTTCATAGGGATCCCAGAGAAGAGGGTTCTGGATCTATATCTGCGCTTATCAAAGCTGTATGCGTCCATTATTATCCAGACCCGGGCTGGAAGAGGTGGACGATATTATTTGCTAGTTAAAATCAAGACTTCTAAGATCGATGCCATTGTATGAGGACCGCCAGTGTCCGCTGTACGCCGAACATTGATTGATTGACCTCCGGTCCTTACGGGAACCCGTCTCACTCTAATGTTCACTGACTGGTTGTCGGCGTCGGATCCGAAAAGGCACTTGTGCGGATGGCTTACGGACCCCAAATCCAAACCGGGGCGAACCAAACTGCAAGGACGAGTCGGGAGCTAGTAGCTCGATGTCAAACATAATAGCCATCATCGAGCTTGCGAGCAATATAATACGCTTGGCTAGATTCCGACCCGGACATGCGTGTTGTCCACCTACATCTCGTTAATGGCCAGCCAAGTGTCTTATGTAGAAAATGTCAGAGGTGTCGAGTGGGTCTTACCTCCATAAGGTATCCAGCTTCCCTCGAGCCCTTCTAAGGTAAATTGCCTTGAGGTTGGAGCTTGGCTGTTCATCTTCTTGTCCTCTTCCGTAGAAGGCGAGACACATGGCTGAATATAGTCTTTTCGTAAAGGCCCACTACTTTTGTCTGTTGGATCAACAAGGAATCGCTGCGGCCAAAAGGTATCCAGCGGATACTGTCCATTTCGTGTGTTCCATACTGACTCATCGGAATGCGCGAGTCCTGTGTTTATGAGGATCATTTTATTCGGCTGGATGGTTGCTCCTGCCACGGAAAGCGGTTGGTGTGGTGAGCAGCGAGGGATATGGATTTGTACACCAAAGCGCAAGGTCTCAGCATACATCGAGAGCAGAAACTGCTGTTTCGCAAGCTTGTTGAGATCAAACCGCGAGGTGGTCCCCGGCTGAATGCAATCCCGAACCTCTATACGAATATCCTCGACGAGTGAGGAATCACGGTACATGTGAGTACAAAGGGTCATGGTCGATGGCACGACATTGGTAACAGAGCTGGTCACAGATTAGTCATTATAGGGAAGAAGAGAAAATGCGCAAGAAAATGAGCACTGCAAGACATACGCCCAGATAAAGCCAAGATCTGTGGATGCCGCCGACTTGGCGTCTTGCCCTTCTATGTTCAACAGCATCTTGTTTCTTTCGCGCATCATGGCCGATCCCCAGTATGGATCGGCTTCACTTCCACCAGCCATTTCACTGCTTGGCATCGTTTCCGAGAGTAGAGCAGCCTGTTGATGCCATTTCATGATAACATCGAGAAGTTCATCCCGCAAACGATAGGCTTTCGGGATCAGCCACGATGGCAAGCGCGTGGCTAGCTTCATTATTTGTTTATCATACCGCCACAGGTTGCGGTTGAACTCTGGGTTTTTTCTGACCAGCAGCGGGCCGTATAAGGCTTCCAGGATGGCTGATCCGAGATGGTTCTCAAAGAACTCGGTCAAGTCCTCCCCATACGTCCATTCCGGAGTCGCTGGCAGGGCCTTTGCCAATGAGGCAAATAACAGTCCTTCTATGCGCTCCGTTATTGGGTTTAGCTCGGCACCCAAGAGGCCTCGAACGAGGTTCTCATGGGTATGATAGCTCACACGGCCGTGCCACGGCGTTTGGCTGCCGGGGATAGGTCGATGCCAGGAGCCCGAAGTATCAGCGAGATAGACATCAGCGGCTTTCTGCTCCATCCCAAAGCAATGTTTCAGTGCAATGCTATATGCTCGGGTAACTGTAAGGCCGGGCTTGCTGAAAATGGCAGCGATGTTCTTAGCCCCTTGGACTATATAGACCTCACCATTCAGAAGATTTACCCGCACTGGCCAACGGTCCTGGCAATAGCAGCTGGCGGTTGGTTAGTCCCGATGTTCATATCTTGACGGGAGTGCACACTCACGAGACCCAACGGAAAAAGTTTGGTCCATCGAGCACAAATGGGATGGTACTTTTCAGGAACGGTAGTGAGTATGGAAGGCAGCGTGGCGCGTTGGGATCATTGCTGAGGGTTTGTAACTTCCTTAACATAGCCCAAATTACCACCACTGTACCCACAGCTACCATCCCAGTCCCAGGCCAAGAAAGACCGATTGCAGGCATGATCAAACTGCCAAAGGCGGTTCCATCTGTGAGACTATCTGGCGGCCCACATGCAGAAGCAGTTGGAATCACTTCTATTTAGCCTACCTCGAAGCAATCCGAGCTCGATCGGACGTCCAGTTAGCCAAGGCGGGAAGATTACAATTTACCTTGAACATTGACGGCAGATCATGCTCCAGGTGGTATTCACAATGCCGTAAATGAGGGGTTTGATGCATGGATTATAGCACTGCCTCTTAATAGTCCATCGTAATTGTATTGCCAAGTCTGTTCTGCATGGCGCTGTCGCCTTGAATGGCACCCTGCCTGGCGAATGGGCCCCCACTGAAGTCAGAGGGGTTTCTATGCAACAGAAGGAGCGCAATAAACTATTTTTGGTGGATGGGAAGGGTATCTGCATTGGCTTGAACCCTCTTCTTGTCAGCTCCTTCTCGGAACAGTGGCCTTCACTGTCCCGATATAACTGAGTCCATTTATTGCGTTTCCAGCCCATTTCTCTCCTCATCGCTCAACAGTCTATTCGGTGTCTGCAGCCTAGGTTTCAGACATCATGGTAGACTCAATGTTAATGCTGCACGCCAAAGTCTCCAAAGGTGCCTTTCTGGTGAGTGTCACTTCTCAGAGACATCCGTTCTCTGTGCAACTAACCTTTCGTTTTATAGGGTGTACTCTGGGCTTTTACGGCCACTGACACTATCTTTGTCCTCTTTCGCATATTTGTCCGGATTGCCTTCTTCCGTCGCCTCTTTGTCGATGATTTCTTCGTGCTACTCGCATGGGCTATTATGCTGACAAACGCGATCATCTGGCAAATCCAGGGGCAGGTGCTTTACAAGTTGTATGCGATCAGCGCTGGCCAGGAATCATATACCCCGGCCGTTCTACCTATGTTTGAATCATTCATGCGATATATCGCTCCTATGACTATCATGTTTTACTCGGGCCTGTGGGCCATCAAGTTCTCATTTATGTCCTTTTTCTTCCGCCTTGATTCCAAGGTCAAGAGCCATCGTGTCTGGTGGTACGTCGTTCTCGTGGTCATCGGAGGCGTCTATGTTGCGTCCGTGGCCGACGTCGACTACAGATGTAGTCTAGGTGGAATAGAGTTTATCATCAGTGAGAATTTGGCAATCTGACCTGGCTGAGCAGACGAATACTAACGGGGAGTTATAATCAGCCAAATGCAGCGACCTCGATCATGTCCATTACCAGAACCGTACATTCTGGGCCAACTGTGTCGGAGATATTGTCACAGATATCTTGAGTGAGTTGATTCAAGTCGACATGATGGGGCATGGAGCTAATGCCTTTTGCGAGATTAAGTCCTCTCAATCCCTATTCTCATTCTATGGAATACCTGCATCTCGCTTCATAAGAAGGTAATTCTTTTCAGCATTTTCTCGGCGACCATCCTTGTGATGGCTGTGGCCATTATCCGGGTGGTCGTCAACAATTCTCTAAACAGCAGTGTGGATATCGGCTGGTTGTACTTCTGGAGTTTCGTGGAGATGGGTACCGGTGTGTTATCTCCTGCGGTTCTTGAATTTTCTTAAAGTAATTGCGCTTGCTGATGAAATACCGATAGGGATCATCATTGCGTGTATCGCTTCATTCAGGCAGCTTTTTGTCAGCTCACAGAACCAGCATCTATTTGGCAAGGTCAAACATACACCACAGAACCCGCTGTTGGGTGTACCGAGCAAGAAATATGGCCTGTCGCGGGAACCCTCTGACACCGAGTCACAGACAAGTGACGCGGCGATTGTGCCGATGGATTCTGTGCACGTTCGTAGTGACTTTGAGGTAGTTACTTCATCTAAAAGGTGAAATATGATACCACTATGGCTAGATAATTGGGAACGGTCTGCTGTTCGTTCCCCCCTCCCGTTCGGCTTTCTCTTTCTCTTTCTACTTACCATTCTTTCCGTGTGCTGTACATTTTATTCGTGGACATGATACCTCTGAGACTACAAATAAATAGACTGATTTCTATTATAACGTACACAAGTCACTCAAAGTAAACGTGCAGTCAGCAAGAATACACTGCATACCAACCAGTGGCCACGCAACGAGAGCATAAACCTATAGTTACGGTCTCCGTCAATGACCGCCAGAAGGGCTTCAATTACTGAGCTTAGACTATTTCACTGAGCCTAGCTATGATAATACACTAGTTTGGAAATCTAGCCTAGCGTACAAACACACACCTCTCTTTTTCACCTGCTCCAATTGCCCCATATTGTCGGCCTGCTGCATTATCACCACGTTCTTCGAGTTGAACTACTCCACTCAAAAAGTAAATGGAATCACAGCCAACCCCCCCTAACACCCAAACGCAGCAGGCAACACACATCATTCAACGAATTCCTTGTCCTAAACCTCACACAGAAATGCCAGCTCGTCCGGGTGGGGGGCGAAGACCTGCAGTTTCCCCGCCCCAGCTTCAAAAACCTGCTTCCCGGTACGATTAAAACATGTTCGTAGATAGTACTAAGATTGACACTTTCGCCCATGGCAACAGACACGATGTTGTCATTGCTAGGCAGTGTTAGGAATGGGATGGGAAAGAGAGATTGAGAGATGCGCAAAGATAGTGGGAAAGAACCGGGACTGCTGGTAAAATAACCATCCATGTCAATGGCCTGTCTCGCTAGTATATTTAGGTAAAACTTATTCCACCGACAAGTATGCAAGGTACCTTTGAAGGTCGGTTTAGACAAGAAGAATCTAAATCTCACGTAATAACGCCACTGGTTCACGTCAGCGCCAACAAGGACTAATGCAATCTTTTCTGAAGGCATCAGCAGGACAAAATTAATCCCGCTTGGCACTGGACTGATACGATGCGCGTGTTCTCAAGTTAGCAAGGAGCATGAGTCCGAGGAGAAAAACGGCACCAAAGGGGAGGCTGCTATCGATGAATTAGGACTATTAAGAGACACCGAGAACGGCGATTGCCAGCTCACTGACTGGGAAAAAGCCTGATACAGATCATCATTCAACACCCTGATGACATTGCACATGTGCCATGCCCTTGTTGAGACTGCTATGGCTGGGCTAATAATAGTGAGCCACATTCTCTATCCGGTGAAAGTCGACCTCAGCACGGCGAGCCGCCGTACTGTGAGGGCATTCCGTTCGGAGATCAATTACGGCTGTGCCTATCAGAGACACTACGATAACCAGGATTGTGACTTGCTTTTTCATGCGCTTTAATGGGCTGCTATAACCCCCTGGGCATACTTGTCTACAATAGCATCCAGTCCCTAATAGTACACACCACCTCAGAGGGGCTATTCCCAGCTGCGGAGGGGATTCATGTGGGGCAGCCCGGGCTTGACTTCCAGACATATCCCATAACAAGGATTAAGAAAGAATGGGCCTGGGGAGCACTCATATAGACACCATGAGATTTAATAATTTGCACAACGGTAGACAAGAAATCACCTTCCTTTCACCTCTAACAACTGATCACTTTTATCGTTCAACATGGCAAGCTTTCATTTGCCCGTACGGGCCTTGTCCATTCGAATTGTCTCGCGCTCGTTGTACCGCCGGTCATTAGGGCCAATGCAGACTCGGTGCTCATCGCGAAAGGCCACAGCAGGCAGCATGACACAATTACTGGAAAGAGTCCACAGCACCACCAAGGTTTACCTTGACTTTGTGAAGTCCTTGAACCTCCCCGAACCATCATATCAGTATGGCGATGAACTCGATCCCTGCCAGCCACTTCCACAGGAGGTGGCAGAGGCCCGGGAGTCCGCCATTGAGGCAACCTACGAGCTCCATCACTTACTCTTAGGTCCACTGGGGCTTCTGTTTAGTTGCCCTGGCGAGGTTCGCTTCCTTTCCCAGGGTTTTCGTCACTTTTTCTTTTCTATTGTCTGACCTTTGTACAAGCAATTGTTTCTCCTCAGTCTCCAATACATCTACCGCCATAAGATCGCCCCTCAAATTCCCATTGAAGGCACAATCACTTTCGAAGAGCTCGCCCAAGTAACGAATCTCAACATCAAGGATCTCACTCGCTTTCTTCGAGTAGCCATCAGCCGCCATGTCTTCTACGAGCCTAGAAAAGGTGTCATCGGCCACACTGCAGCCTCCAAGCTCCTGGTCAACAACCCCATGATAGAGGCATGGCTTCTCAACATTGCCGAGGAATACTGGCCCGCATTCACACGCACAGTGGACGCGACGGAGAAGTGGCCTGGTTCGGAAGAGCCTAACGAAACTGTAAGAAGACAGTACCTCAGTTCCTCCACCATGGCCTACGATCTTGACCGCATTAACTACCACAGGGCTACTCTCTCGCCTTCAACACTAACATGAACCCCTTCGACGAGATTTCGAAGGACCCCCGCCGACAAGCCCAATTCATAACCGCCATGCGTTTCTCCCACCTCCACCCAGCTTACCACCTGTCCCATCTCCTCGATAATTACGATTTTGGTACCGGCGAGGGCACAATTGTCGACATCGGTGGCTCCCACGGCGAAGTTAGCACCGAGATCGCCGCACGATACCCACAGATTCGGTGTATCGTCCAGGATCTGCCAAATACAATCGCAAACTGGACTATGCGTGTACCTGAGGGCCTCCAGGACCGGGTAACCTGTATGGCGCATGACTTCCTGACCCCTCAGCCTATCCACGGAGCGGACGTTTACCTTCTGCGTTGGATTCTGCATGATTGGTCGGACAAATATTGCGTGAAGATCCTCCGGAATTTGGTTCCGGCGTTGAAGAAGGGGGCTCGAGTCGTTGTTAATGACATTTGTATTCCAGAGCCGGGGGTGTTGGGGCCTAAGGCTGATCGAGATCTGAGGTATGTGTTTGAGACTTTTGTGTTCTGTTCCATGTGTGTGATTGAGTATGTCGCTGACTCGATGACGATTGCTAGGTTTATGGATATCGCTATGAAGGCGTTCAATAATGCTCGAGAAAGAGACGTGGAGACGTGGAGGGAGTTATTCAAGGAGGCGGATGAGCGGTTTCGGTTTTTGGGTGTCACTGTGCCTGCTGGGGCGAGGATGGCCATCATTGAGGCTGACTGGATGGGTCCATAAGTGAGAAGCAGGTACTTTGCATCTGGTATATGGGTTGGATAGAAGACGTCAGAATATCGAATATCCTTGGGCAACATAAGCAAAGTGTAGATGTATCGATTATTAAATCTACAACTGGAAATAGATTCTCCGGTCATCATTCATATTGAACAGAATTTTTACTTCAAGACGCTCTGGTCCACCCCACAACCTGCGAGAATGTGAGTATCTATCCTACCATTGATTTTACGAAGCCTGTGGCTGCTACTGATTGGTAAACCTCGACCAAGCATAAGTAGGTTGAATCATATTATATATCGCCCTGGAAATGATACACGTTCCCTGGGATACATAGTGGGAGGTTGCTTTTTAGGCTCGCCGGCATCTCAAGTGCACCTGCTCTGCATCCTTCATCCGTAGAAGCAGTTGCAGATCAACCTCCCTCGTGGTGGCCAGTACCCTCTCGCGCGTCTGCTCGAATGTCTCTCCCGCGTTGGCAACGGGACTGATCCGGTGATTTCGGAAAAGGCTCGCCATGACTGCTACAAACTCCACCTGCGAGAATTTATTGCCTGGGCAGTTCTGTGGCCCGTCCGACCAGGGGAAGTACGTGCACCGCACCGGAGTGATAAGCTGTTCGTGCTCAATCAAGGCCGCCTTGTCCGACTTGCTCGTTGTGACCCATCGTGAGGGTTTCCACTCCAGTGGATCTTCCCAGTGCTGGGGATCGATGTGCATCGTGAGAAGACTCGGATTGATTCCTACCTTTGGTGGGATCATTATAGTTTTATCCCTGATCTTCAGTGGCTGAGGCTGGTCGTTGGTCCATTTGGGTAAGGAGGGAATGGGGGGGTAGAGACGGAGGGTTTCAAGCTGTCAAAGGTGAGTATTTAAATGGCATGCGGCTATCAGAGAAAACCAGGCCTACCATGACAGCTCGGCAGCGCTTGAGTCTGGGGAAAAGGTCGGCATATTGACCCTTGGTGTCTGCCAACAACAGGAGCTCCTCGGCCACCCAGTCTTGCACGCTAGGGTATGCGGCCAGTAGAAGGAGTCCAAAACTCAGCGTATTAGCCGTGGTATCGTGTCCTGCAAAGTTGATCACGAAGATGTTGCCAAATATCTCGTCAGTAGTCAGTCCCCTTGGCGACGCATCATTGGCTTTGCCTATTGCGTCCTCACGATTCATGGCGCGCACAAAGGATGTCATAAGACCCCCCGAGCCAGCCTTGCCCTCGTTAAACGCCTGCACCTCCTCATCCAGCATACGCACCATGTGCTGCTTAAACTCCATCGCGGCCTTGGCCAATCGCTGCCATGATTCCGGAGCAAACGAAAACGAGAGGAAACGCCGTGGCATAATCATCAACAAGATGGCATTATCGAGGACGGTCTGCAGGGCATCACGATAGCTTACAGAGTTAGTTTGTTCCTTGTGGCAACTGTCACTAGCACTCTGGAAGGGATACGATTTGCGAAATCCTGTAGCAGCGAGGACATTCAATGAGAGCGTGCGGGTATCCTTTGCGACGCTAGAGATCTTATCGAGGCTTGGAGAGGCCCAAATACCAAGCATCTGGTGGGTCTGCTCAGTGCTTTCATCCCATACGAAGGACATAATACTCTCGTTGAAGGGAGTAGCCAGCACTTTTCGATGACGCGGCCAATCAGCTGAATTGGCCGTGGAGATACACGGTCCATAGACTTCGAGCACCGCTACAATGAAGCACAATGATTAGACACCAGGGCCATATATCAACAATGGTCCCGGGAAGACACACTATACTGTTCAACCGGGCGGATAAAATCTGTCCGTCGTTGGAACATGTCATGGATTGCTTCGGAGTCAGCGACATTGATGTAAATTTCCTTGGGAGTGACCAGCGCCCAGATTGGACCATGGCGGCGATGTGACTCGCCACGGTCAGCAAAGTACCATCCGCGCCGCGAATAGCGACCAAAATTACCCCAGTGGATGGGAAGTCGATCGAGCCAGGGCCAGAGATGGGGCTCAATCAGGACCCAAAGGAGGTTTTGGGGGTCGATACAGAGTCTCACGAGAGGAATCCCCATGGCGCACGCGCGGCGATAGTTGATCTCCATCGCTACCAAGCTCCAGGCCACGTAGGCCAAGGCCAGGGTTTGGAGGAATAGCAGAAACATGGAGATGGGCACAGTGGGCGGCTTGATGAGGGAGGTACGGAGATACGGCGGAACGAGGAATCAGAAGTGAGGATACGAAAACAAAAGAGGCCCTGACGCGGACGAAAGGAAAAGGTACGTGGCCATGGTTGCATTGGCGTGTCGTTCATTGTTTGTCTCACTGATTATCGTCGGTTCCCGCGGTTCTACGCCTTGCCCTAGTTACTCCGTACTTTATAGGTCAAAGGGGACAGGGATCAGTAAGGGCGCAGCAGAGTAGCGTCAGCGAGTGAATAGTGGATCTACAGTCTTCCCAATAGATGATGCTGTAACCCCTGAGAGCTCTTTGTGTTCCACGCTGAGGCCATTTCAGACTAGGGCTTGGTCTACGACAGCACCATTTCTGACATGCATCCCAACCCCCATACAGCCAACCTAATGGCACAATCACAGCCCAACTTGGACGCTCACATATGCATCCAAAGTGGCCTGATAGTGTGGCTTCATTACCCCTCACATGCAACTGCGTGTTAACTGCGTGTTATTTCGCCTCTCCGCCTCTCCGAGCAAATGCCTAATTGGGAGCGAATACGGAAATTGTTGAGCAACTGGTTTGCCCTGTCTTGGGGCTTGATTCAAAAGTAAGCATCGAGCGATGATGCCTTATGAGGATCTCTTCCTTACCTCTCCGCTTCGCACCTTCATGTTTATAGGTCACATTGAGTCGAAATGCTGGACAACCTCGTGAGGAGCGTCTCATCGACCGATCCTAATGATATAGCCACTGCGGAGCAGACAAGGCTTCCTCGCGTTGTATATCTCTTGCTTTCGGTACTTCTTGCGTGGCGACTATGGGCATTTACCATCTCCCCGCGGCTCCATCGCGATAGATTAGAGTACCTCCCATATTGGATTCCATGTAGGTTTCTACCACCTCTCTTCCTACGAGTCACCATAGCTAATGGTACTAGATCTAGGTTTGTTGTAAGGGCCCTCTGATGGGAAGCACCACTGACTAGAGTGACAAACTCTCCTACTTTATAGGTCATGCTGTACCTTTCTTTAGAAGTTCTAGCGCTCTCTTTGCTAAGGCAAAGAAAGAGTTCAACCACAAGTTATGTGCCCTACGTATAGCTGGGCAAGATATTGTGATGGTCACGACTGCTGCCCAAATTGCCGCTATTGATCGTGACAGCCAGACGTTTGCTTTCGAACCCTTCGTAGACCTCGTTTACGAGGAGATCGCCACTGTCTCCCGCGAGACTAAACCGCTTTTGTGGAGGACTCCGGCGGAAGGTTATGAATCGCTGTTTCCAAACGCCAAACAAATGACCGCCGCGCATACAGGAATTCATCTGCTGCACAAACAACTCACACAACCAGATGAAATGCACCGTTTTATGGCTAACTCACTAGCCCATGTGAACAATACACTACAGTGGAACTCGTTCTACAAGACAAGTGTCCTTGCCTCAACCCCAGACGTGAAGGTGGTTTCTTTGGAATGCATGTGTCGTGATGTGATCATCGATGCCCAGCTGACATCATTTTTTGGCCCTCGCATACTGGAGCTCGAGCCCAATATCCGATCGTTTCTGAAAGCATGGGATCGCATTAGTTGGCAGGTCACATACAAACTCCCATCCTTTCTGGCCAAGCACGCTACACAGCTCCGGGATCATCTCATTGAGGTTCTCGTGGAATACTACGCCTTCCCCGCCGAGCAGCGGCCAGGCTCTGTCTCATTCGTTAATGATGTCTATAACGACTATAAGCAAGCCGGAATTCCCGATAGAGATATTGCAGGCATCGTTTTTACGATCCTTTGGGGGTAAGCCGGATGATTTCTATGCTATCTATTCCATGGACATAAGCTGGTGATTGATTCAAGCGTGCCAGGCTTAATTCCAATGTCAACGCCATATCATACTGGATGATTGTTCATTTGATGAACAACCCCACAGTTGTGAACGAGATCCGAGAGGAGATTGCGCCTATGATGCGAAACCTCGACTCCGCCCCTGCGATTGATGGAACTATACTCGCGAATGTCACCAAAGATGCACTACTAAACAGCTGTCCCATCTTTAATTCAACGTTCGATGAGACCTTGCGCTTCACCGCCACAGGCAGTAGCTTTCGTGAAACTACGAGAGATACGACCCTGGAAGGTTATTGCATCCCTAAAGGTACCAAAGTTATAATCCCGCAGCGGACTCAAATGATGCACACCCCGGCCTTTGGACCGGATCCTCAACGGTTTGATTGCTACCGGTTCTACCAGAACAAATCACTTCTGCGAAAGGTGGAGTTTCGCGGGTTCGGTGGCGGTACAACGTTGTGCAGCGGGAGGATTGTGGGAAGGCATCAAGTGTTAGCCTATCTGGCACTTCTCCTTTGGAGGTACGACTTGGAGGTAATTGGGCCGGACCAAGAAGTGTTGGGCGTGCGAGGGAAAGGCTTCCCAAGGCTTGACGAAACTAAACCAAGTCTTGGTCCGGGAAAGCCAATGGAGGGAGATGATCAGATCCTTAGGTTGACTCGCCGTAAGATGCAGAGAATTTGAAGACATACTATATATGTGGTTCAGATGTCTCTTATATTCGAGTCTAATGTACCTGTCTTCCTGTGTGTATTGGTTGAAAGCATCCCTACAATTGTTCACATCGCTAAGAATATAGACATGCTGTCAACCCAAACCACTTCCATAAGAAAAGACACAGAAGGAAAAGCAGAAGCAAAAGGGAGAGGCAATAGATGGATTCTGGCAACATTTGAGCGATGGTAGACTACTCGGAGGCGTTCTCCGATCCTACTACTGACCGAGATCGACATAGCACTATCCGCACAACATGCTCAAGCAGTTGCAGCGCAACTGTCCCCCATTACTGCGGTATTCGATGGAGTATCGCTCATCGGCTTGCCGTTGCCATTGGATGCGGTTGCAGTCTTCAACGGTGCAGCGCTCGTCGACGGACTTGCACTGCTCGATGAGGTTGCATTGGAGGAAGAGTTTCCCGTGAGATCGATACAGGCAAAGCTTATTTGCGTGGTGGTGGCCGAGGCCAATGCATACACAGCCTGCGATAAGTCCCAGTCCATACTCACATAGGGCCAGCAGATTCGACCATCAGCCATTGTCACCAGATCGCCTGCAACGAAGGTATCTGTGCTTTTCAACGGGCTGCCGACCTGGTTCCCATGGGAATCCACCTGTTGAAAGAATGTGCCGGCAAACTGCCCCCGGCATCCCATCGCCACGAAGTCACAAATGGGATCCGAGATCTCCTCCCACGACACGAGTGCACTGTGGTTCCCGAACGTCGCCGCATGCGCATTCGAACAGTCGTTGGCGCCTTCGGTCAGCCAATTGATCTGGGCATCGCCGTCTTCAGCGCCGACTTCCGAGGTCGCCTGCTCTCCAACAATGGTGTATTTATCGGAGAACAGTGAGATGGCGACGTTGCGGTTGTTGGTGCGATTCAGGGCATGAGTGTAGCCACTCCCCATCCACGTGTTTTCGGTGAGATCCATCGCACCACGGGAAACCCAGGCGAAGATATACCGACTGCTTTCCGCAAACCGAGCAAGAGCACTGTAGCTCCCAGACATGCCACCCATGGGCTCCCCGGAGGCGCCGTTGGTGGTATTCTCATTGGAGATCTTCACCCCGTCACTTGACATTCCCAGCGTTCTGGTATTCAGCCAAATAGCCCCCTGATCTTCCGCGCAGATGCTCGCGAATGGAGGTTCATCGGCGGACTCGAAAGCGATACCTGTGTTATGGCTACAGCCCCAGGCGCTGCTAGCCCCGGTGATCGTGACCAGTGTTCCATTATCTGCAACGTACTGAATACTGTCACCGTAGTGTCCTGCTGCATCGCCAGAGTAGTCTGTGACGACAAAGTAGGCGCCGTAGAGACCCGATTCCTCAGAGTAGACCAGGTCGCCGTTGAGATCGGGCGACGCGGAGAGACCGTCCGTCTCGTGGACACCGGGTCCACCCAGCCACGTCTTCCACGTCTGTTTCCCATCTGTGTATCGGTAAAGGACCGGGACTGGTGTGTCGCTGGGGGGTGCATTTGTCGTTCCAGATGGCATGGCCTCATTTGTCAGGAGGGCAAAACCATCATTATGGGCAACGAGTCCGCCCACTGCGCTGTGTCCTTAGCACCCACATCATGATCTATTGTTGCATAATCACATACCTTCCTTGCCACCGGACACTGTAACCGACGTTCCGGTCGCCTTGAATGTTTCTACATCCACTTGCTGCACATGAATGTTTGTTTCGCTCGCGTCAAGGTAGGCAATGAAAGCGGACTTTCCATCAGGAGAGACAGCAAATGGAGTTCGCCGATGGTGAGGGTACCCAGTCCAGTAGGCCTCCTTGATGGGGTTAAAGGAATTTTGAAGTGCCAGCACCCCAGGGTATTTGTGCAAGTTGGATTCGGTCAAGGCCGCCGTGACGCGCAGCGCCACAGAGAGCAAAGAGAGAGCGACAATTCCTCTCATGGTGAGGGAGTGGATGGCCGAATCTTGGTTTCAGCCAGTGCATCTGTTGTCGAGGGGTTCACTGTTTATATATACAAATCTGTACTACATCAAGCCATGTCAGCAGGTAGGATAGGTTGACCCTTATTTCTCTTTCTTGCCATGGTCTAGAAGAATTCCCCTGTCCCTACTTCTGAAACATAGAATGCATTCCACCAATAAGCGCACCATCATTGGGTCCCACTAAGCTCGATATCCCGAGCTGCCACTACCGTCCACCGAAGGCTCTTCTGATGTGGATACGATGTTTCACTCTCATCACCACAAGGAACAGATGCTCCCTTGTTTACCAGAACATCACCGCTAAACAGCAATGTCTGAGACATTCGGTAACTGTCGGGGTGTGTCAGAGTAACCGGTCTAATTAATCTGAGCGGACGGTTCGACAAAGCATCAATGTTGATACCTACTATCAAAAGTATGAAGCAGAGAAAAGAAAGGGCGTACAACTCGCACGAGGCACCACCGGTGATAGTAGTGCAATCAATCCTGTGTTCAGAGGCCCCTAAGATGACGACGACGAATGGAGGTAGAATATTGCCACTGCCCTGGAGGCTGGAATCACGATCTGGAGTTCTTCATTGCGTCACAATCGGTGGTCTCGGTAGTCTACGAATTCCTTTGGCGACTTTGTCCAGGACTACACAAGATAGACCATTGTTTGGCATCGGACGTGGTGAAACGGTGACAGGCTCCTTAATCTCACGAAATGCCGAAGATCCACCGAGTGGAACTTGAACTACTGCAACCACACCGATAGTGCCCGTTGTTTTCGAATCAAACACTGTACCCTATATGCGATTTGGATTCCTTCTCGATCGAGATTGAATCCCCTACAATCCAACTTGATGCGAGCTGCGTTCGGTGAACAACCGAGGTTGGCGTTTAGACATGGATGCAATTCGAGGGTCTGCCGCATCCACGGGCCTGCCCGTGGAATACGGCGGACTAAATCGAAGTTCCGGACAATGTAGGATATGACCAACTTTACCAATACCAATGCACAGTTTTATTGACCAAAAGTCTATTTGTAGAGATCTACTATACCGTATTACTGCTTAACCAACTATATTCTATATCTAAAAAATAAAGCTCTGGATTATTGACTAGTCCGATTCCGAGATATTGTGATACCCCCATTTCTACTGTCTTAAATGGTCTTTTAAAAACTGCTAGTACTCGGGTTTTAGGGGGCATCTGTACCCTGTTTGTAGGGGCTATCAGCACTCTATCTCGATGCTTTAGAAGCTACTAGATCTTTAGATCCCCCGGGGCCCTAGAAGAATACTATATAGTAGTATTCCGGGAGTAGTAGTAATATTTGGAGATAGTAAAACACTCTTTCTTGAAGCTGGTGATAAATAGATTTAGAAGTATGTGGTAGTGATGGCTTTATATAAAATACCACGATTTCGGCTGATATTTTACTTTGTCCGGAACTTCGATTTAGCCCCCGCCGTAGTGGGATTATCTGCCCACTTCCCCATCAATTTTGGAAGGCCTCAAATCCCGGGTGTCGACTTCCTTGACTCGGGATCCATCTAACGACCTGGTGTTCGCTAGAGACTTGATGATAAGCCAGATTCATCGCCAGACTGGAAAAGGAAACCTGTCATGCAAGTACACAGCACTTCATGCCAATGAGCATTTCTTTCTCTAATATCATTGCCAATACCATCGGTGAAGGGGTCTCCCTGACCAACCAACGTAGGAGGAAGGATCCTGCCATGCGTTTATCGTGATTGACGGTGCGCATTGTAGCTGCCCATCGCTTTTCTGACCCCTTCGATACTTGTACCTTACTACGGGCAGAGAATGGAATACTACTTTCCTATTTGCTCCGCGGCGGAAATTGATTTCCGTCAAGACGGCCATTTAAACCGCCGAAATCCCCACGCCAGTACTGTGCTTCATCTTGCCATCTCTACTTACAAATCTGAGGCCGTGCCAGTCCGTGGCTAATCCAACCATGCTAAGCAATAAATTGGCGATCAGTAGCCTATCGTTGGGCCAGCACCCTTCGCACCTGTTAGACCACAAGATTGAGGTCGCCGCTTCCCATGGCTTTGCGGGTATTGAGATCGTCTTCTCTGACATTGAAGTCTACGCACGAGCGAAGCGTCTTTCTCTGTCGGAGGCAGCAGCAGAGATTCAAGGGATATGCAAAGCACACCGGATCGAGATTCTGTCCCTGGCTCCATTTGAGAACTTCGAAGGGCATAACTCGCCTCTCGAGGCGAGGCTGCAAACTGCCCGAAAGTGGATTAACCTTGCGAGAATTTTAAACGCGATATATCTCCAAGTGCCCGCTCAGTACAGCAGTGACTGCACGGGGGTTGAGGCGGTGGTCGTCTCGGAGTTACAGCAGCTCGCAGATCTTGCCCGTGCGCAACAGCCCGTGGTCAGCATTGCTTACGAGCCGATGTCATGGTCCACGCATTCCTCGACATGGCAGACAGCACTGCACATCGTTCAATGTGTCGATCGACCCAATTTTGGACTTTGCCTAGACAGCTTCCACGAGCTCACGAAACTGTGGGCGAGTCCATGCGACGCATCGGGTAAGCTGCCCAACGCGGACCATGATCTGCGAGCATCACTGCGCGATTTCCAAGATCATTGCCCTCTCGACAAGATTTTCTACGTGCAACTCTCCGACGGCGAACGGTTTAACCCCCCCTTTTCAACATCGCATCCGTGGTATCGCGAGAGCGAGGCGCCACAGTTTACATGGTCACGGCACGCGCGTCCATTTCCCCTGGAAACTGAGCTGGGTGGATATCTGCCTGTACCAGAAGTCGTAAAGTCCTGGATTGCAGGTAGCGGCTTCCATGGCTGGGTCTCGCTGGAAATTTTTGATTGGAGAATGAGGACGCCTGAATTTCGGCCAGAGAGTGCTGCGTACCGCGGTCGTCAATCCTGGCGAAGGCTGCAGGAGGCACTGACGCACCTTGGCAGTAATATGTAGCCGGAGGCCATCCGACTGTTGTTGACCTATGTCGATTCGGCGAGATCACCCAGGAGGGATTGAATCCTCGCCGGGTAGCGGGTGTTCTGTAGTGATCGATGATAACTATGGAGATATAGTCTAGACCTATGTGGAAATATAAACACATGAGGAACTCTAGATTTTCACAACGTGTTACGTGATGCGCAAGAAAACCCCGCGCAGGTGTTCTGGGGTTGGGTTGGGGCTTGACCTTCAAACCCCTTAACAGCGAGCAGGGTTCGGGCCGGGTCGGGGTCCACCCCACACGAGGTAGTATACCGCAGTACGTAGTATGTCGGTCCTCGTAGTACTACTAGTACTAGCAGAGCGCTTCGCGCTCTGCTATTATTTTATTGGTCAGATACTAGCGATTTTTCCCGACCTGGCGTTCCGATGGGTTGTTTAAATCCCACGCCACGTGACTGCGCTGAAGCGCGAGCTCCTCTTCAGCTGCGGCCAGAGCTAGTACTAGTAGTAGGGTTGACGTGCACACTTCAATTCAGCCCCGTCAAGTTGGGTCCCAGCGGAAACCTCACAGGACAAAATGTCCACCAGAGAAATCGCCAAAAAGGCGGTGGAAGCAATTGCTGCGAAGCTTGGATACGTTGATTCGGCGGTCTTGAACCGCATTGGGACCGTGCTTCCTGAGGAGCGACGCATAATTGAACAGAGTCTGCGTGCAAAGGACGAGAAAATGGGCCATTCAATCAAGACGTCTGTCACTGGCTCAACAGAATCGCTGGCGACCCAAGGGATGGTGTGCTAACCTGAGCGACTTAGACTTGCAAGAAACCTCTATAGCAGCAATGCTCGGTTTGTCTTCGAGCTTCTGCAAAATGCCGACGATAATCGCTTCACGCTCGCGCGGGAACGCAACGAATTGCCCTTCATCTCTTTCAGGGTCTATCCCGATCGGATCATTGTAGAGTGTAATGAGGACGGATTCAGGACAGAAGATCTGTCGGCTATCTGCTCTGTTGGGGAGAGCAGCAAAGCCGCATCCCATGGCTATATTGGGGCCAAGGGCATCGGGTTCAAGTCCGTTTTCATGGCGGCGTGGAAAGTTCGTATCCAATCCGGCAACTTTTCCTTCCATTTTAAGCATAGAATAGGCGATCTTGGCCTTGGAATGGTTCTACCAGTGTGGGAGGACCCTGACGACGAATGCCCTGATCGCTTAACCCGAATGACTCTTTATCTTCACACAGAAGGAGAACCGCACGCGCTCCAGCACCTCCGCCAAACCATTTTCCAGCAACTCGGTGATCTCCAGCAAACTTCTTTACTTTTTTTGAAGAACCTCAAGCAGATAGGAATCTTCTTCTATGATGGCAGTGGTGAAATGCAGCGATCTAAGACCTTTCGTGTTCATCATGCTGCGCCGGGCCACAGTGTCTTCGTCGAGGCTTCTGTCGTGGATGGAGATGGAAATTCTACCACGGCTGAGCAACGCTATCATGTCACCAGGCACACTGTCACTGGTCTTCCGACCAGCGACAGTCGCAACATCCCGGGTACACAGGAAAGCGGCACGACATTTTCGGAAGCAGAGGTTGTCTTGGCGTTTCCACTTACAGTGGATTCAAGGCCCTTGCTGGAGAAACAGGAGATATATGCCTTTTTACCAGTCTGCGAGTCGAAGTTCAAAGTGAGATTTCTTCCATTCTGTGAAATAGCAAAGTCCCGGTGCATACATGAATTAACGGGAAGAATAGTTCCTGATACAGTCCGACTTTGACACTACCGGAAACCGACAGGATATCTCTACGACTTCGAGAAGAAACATTTGCCTATTGCCTCACATTGCCTCAGCATTTGTGAAGGCTGTGTTGGAATTCTGCGAAGACCCAGAATTGTGCTACATGTGGCCAAGCTTCCTTCCCTTGTTAGATGATGACATAGGAACCTTCTGGTCTCCTCTGGCTGAATTGATCAAGGATTTGATTTCCGTGATCCCGGTTTGGAGGTCGAGGCACGGCAACGGCCTTCGTGCGATGAGCTCAATTGTGATCCTTCCATCTGACTTTATGGATAGCGATGGGAACCCATTACTGGATGACTCAATCTTGGATCCGTTCATATCCACTGCCTACCCCGTTGCGCTAGAAGAGGCCCTCGAAGAGTATGGTCTCGAGGTGGGGACTTTTGAGCTAGTTCTCCGAATGCTTGAAAGTGATCTTGAAAGTCCTACCTCCCGAGCCAAGTCACATGTGACTAGAGTAGACTTCCACTCTCGCCTTTCACAACTTTTGTTGAGGATTGAAAACGATGACGGGGATGAAATGCGTACTCTTAGGAATCTTGCTATTCTTCCTCTACGAAATGGTGAATGGGTGTCTGCAAACAGCGGCCAGGTATACTTACCAAACACTGGTGAAATAGATATCCCGGCCAACGTGGATATTCACATGTTGGATCCAGCAGCGGTTGCAAATAAAGACCGCAGAGCTTTTTTCATACACTTGGGAGCCGTGGAGCCGTCTGTCAGTGCAGTTCGATCTGCAATACTGGCGAAATATAGTCGCTTGAATAGCCAGGTGTGCATGGAAGATTCGAAAGCTCATCTTCATTACCTATACCTGACTGCAGGGCGTCATTGCAATGAAGATGGCCTTGGCGATATTCGTGTTTACTGTGATCATGGCCGTACGAATAATCCACACAAGGAAGAGATCTATCTGCCAAGCAACCATCCATATGGACCAGAGGCCCTCCTAAGGCGAACAGAGTACGCCCAGGGCGTGGAAGTATTGCTCATGCATTCAACATATCTTGAGGACATTCCAACAAGGCCTCATTCAAACCACCCATCATGGCGCATGTGGTTAACTAGCTCACTCGGAATTCGCGAAAGATTGAGTCTTGTTTCAGATGATAGTGATTCTCTTTCAGACAGCTGGACCTATGTCGCGGATTGTCGACCTGGAAAGCTTCTTGGATTGTTGGAGTATCTCTGGAAATACCAAAGGTCTGAACTGTGCCAGAATGCCGATCTTATCATGGAAATTCAAAGCACAAATGCAACAAGACTTTGCGATGTGGACCTACCTGATGACTGTCATCTGGATGAAACATATCTGCCGCTATCCAATCTCCAGGCTCTTTGCCAACGTTTTATGGAGAAAGATGAGCCCTTTCCGTTTTTATACCTCGAAGGAGATCCAGACGAGGAAATTTACTCCAAGTGGACTTTTCTCCACAACGATTTCTCAGTTGGGAAGGACGACAACATGGATTTCCTCCTTGATATTCTGTATTGGATCCAGAGCTCTAATCCTGATGAAACCTCCCTTACTTCGTATGAGCGACTATGGGATCTATATATTGCAATTGACGCCAAGCATCTTGCGAGCAAGGATAGGGTGGCCGCCAGGACAAGCATCGAGTAAGTCCAGTGCCCGCAAATGCCCAGACCGACTGCTCACTTCTAGTCAAGGGATTTTTTTGAATACGGTGACTACATTTTCGTTCCTGAACTCCAAGAAGATGATTCCTATGATGCAGCATGGGCGGGTCTTGAGAACTGCCTGTGGGACGCACCACCAAATATGATGTCGAAGTATTCTCTCAAATACGTCTTCGAGCAAATTGTCAACGAAAGTCAACTCGAGCATCTTTCACGATTCTTCAGGCATACATTGAGCATTCCAAATGCCTCATGGTCAGATCTGACAGGGGAACTGGTGGAACAGAGCCAGAACCACTGCGTTGACTTCGACCAAATCTTCGACATGTACAGGTACCTCTCTGGAATGGAAAATCTCCTCTCTACTGATGATTTGCGGCAAGTATCAACTTACTAGCTTTTTCGTTGAGGTTGAATCAAAGGGCTAAGCTTCTATTTTTAGGCGCGAATTTGAGGATGAAAGCCTGATTTTTGTGACCACAAACGGCGAACCCGGCTGGTACAAAATCTCCGAGTGCTTGTGGTCAAGTACTACAGATATACGTGGGAAGGTCACCCTCAATGATCATTACGAGGACCTGAAAGATTTCTTTATTGATACGTTGGGGGTCAATACGCTGACCCTTGAGATGGTATATGATGAGCTGTTGGAAACAGGCTCAGAATCAACAATCGACGAGACAAAAAGTAAAATCTGGTCTCTCAATGCTCTCCTTCAAACAGAGGGAGATTATGCCAATCCGGACCCACTGTTGGAAAGGGTGGTATTTCCAGTTATTTACCCAGATGGAACGAAGGGGCTCACATCTGCCGCGACGGAGTTCGCGATTCCTGACCGGGAGCACCTGGCATCACAATTCAGAGGCAGGATCAAGATGCTTGACTACAGTCTGGAAGAAGTTCGCCGTCTGAAAAGCTTCTTCGAGTGGACAAATCTCACGCATCGTTACTTATCTGCATCCGTCAAGGAGCTAACTTCCTTCTCTGGCGACACAGCACAACTGATTTCAACGCCACGCCGAGACTTGAGAAGAAAGGCGCATGCGATTCTCCGGTAAGTGTTATGGATTTAAAAGCTTGGGTTAGATAGCTCATATCCCTTCTCCATGTTAGAGTCGCGGCCACGTTCAATAGCCCGAGGTATCACGCGAATCCATCGGGGCTTTACGAGTTACTTCGGACAGCAAGGATTGAAGCAACTGACGGACTTTCCTCAATCCTGAGAATCTCCCAAGATGGCGTAGTGGTGGATGCTGAAGAGTCGATTAGCAAATTGCACATTAGTGAAGCCCCATCTGGTCTCACTGTTTATGTGCCGAAAGACAAGAAGGCCCAAGAAATCTGCTTCTGTGACCTTTTTCCCAAGCAACTGATTGACTGGATCATGCGGGATCCGGCCACACAAATTCCTAACAATATCGAACGAGATGCAGTAACTGTAGTTTCCATGATCTTGAATATCGACCCTTCCGCTATTGACCTTGTTTTGGAACGCCAGGGTATTATTGAAATTGACTTACAGAACGATGATCCCTGTATTTATGATGATAGCACTGATGATAATATGCCATCCCAACGGTCGCAAAGTCAGGGTCAATCTGCTGGTGAGGTTCCACTAGACCCACCGGATATTCTTATCCCGTTTACGCATCAGAATCGCTGACTTTCAAACAATGATTTAGTGGACGTGATGTTTCGACAAACCCAGATGGCCAACTATTGGCCCAACCCCGATCCTCCACCGATGTACTCGCCACGTGAACATACATCGGAGGACACTATGCAGTACCGTACGCTCCTCAATGGGGTGTTGTTGGCTGCGAGGAGAGCTACATTTCCCGCGAGTGGACCGTTCAACATGGGCGAACTGAACGAAGCACTGTCGGGACAACAAACGTTCCAACGATACGTTGGCTTCGATGGTATTGACATAACGGATGCGTTCCGCTCAGACAGCCAGCTCGAAAGAGACAAGAAAATTGGCGCCGCAGGAGAGCTATATGTATGTGGCATTTCAGTAATATTCTTTTAGGGTACAATTTAGCGTGTGACTAATTTTCTTGCAGGTTTTCGAATTATTTACACGGCTGGACCCAGCTCTAACGGGCTGGAGTGAGCAGAACTGGCAAAGTAAAATTCGTCGATATGTGACGGTCCACCCGGATTACTCCAATATGGAACCGTATTATGGGAGGGAGACCGCAGACATTACATATGATGATACTGAGGGCGGTTTCACGGCCCTGCTGATTGATCACGGGTACCTTGCGACTGAAGAATGGAGAGACAAGCGTCCGAAATATTACATTGAAGTCAAGACGACCACAGGGCCTTTGAGAACTCCATTCTACATGAGCAAACATCAGTATGAACGAGTGAGTGTTTCGACAACAATCACAAACATATACCCGCTAACCAAACCAAGATGCGGGCTGTGCACAACAGGAGGGACTATTCAGAGGTTTACATGATTCTACGTGTGTTTGATATAAGTGGAGGTAACATTGGAATGAGTGTCTATCTTGACCCGGAACAGTTCAGATTGGACGGAGGACTTGTATTTACTGGGGAGACCTGGTCCGTCATTCCTGGCTAACCAGGTCATATATCAGTAGAAAGGCTTTTGTATTGCAGTTGCAGGATTACAAGCGGCCTGGCATCGCCTTGCTAAACACACATTACCTGGACTGGACAACACTATGAGAACATCTGTCCTATCAGCCTCGTCGGGCCTAGACCTCGCCGTGACCCTCAATTCTCGAGAGAATTACTTAAAAATTACCTATTATAACTCTTATTTATCTATATTTATATAATTTTTCTAAACTATTTCTAAATAGGCTTAAAGTGGTACGGTTGACCCGGTAAACCCGGCCCCGAACCCGCCCTGAACCGGCTCCCGGTTTGAGTCGGGTCCTAGATCTAAGAACCGCTCTGGGTTTTGGATTATAGAGCCAAAACCCACTCTAAATCTAGAAACTTGAGCGGGTTAGAACAGGGCGGGTTTTCTGGTTCAGATATACCCGAAGAAACCGCTCGCTTATTTTAAGTAAAACCTAGAGTGGTATTCGGGTTCGGGTTCGGGTTCTAGATCTAGGACCCGGCCCCGCCCCCGCCCCGCGCGGATTTAGTTTGACCCGACTCGTTGGGACATATTTTATATATATATATATATATATAATCTAGATCTATATAGAAATCTAGAAAAAATCTAGAAAATCTAGATTCTTAAGGCACGTGACTGCCAAGAAAAACCGCTCGGGTTTCCGGGTTCGGGGCGGGTTTTAGATCTAGGACCCGACTCAAACCGGGAGCCGGGTTGGGGCGGGTTCGGGGCCGGGTTTCCGGGTCAACCATACCACTCTATCTGCGACTAATTTAACTAAATTTACTATACTATACACTGGTTAACTTTAATCTATTTTAATAATTATAAATTATTAAATTTTTAGTTCTAGAGTAAGCTAGAGTTAATTTAAATTTTATATTTTTATCTAGATAAATTTTATACAATTCTACCTAGCGGAAATAGTTACAGTTTTCGACCAAAGTATAAGAATCTAAACATCACTGGGTGGAAAACCCTAATCAATTTACTATAGGTGGGCCGTCCCACTATCAGAATATGGATCTATCAGTTCACACCCCTTCTGGGTTAGAGGATTAGCATCTTACGGGGAAAACAATACAACATTAGTACTCCGAGCAATATAGACGTTACGATATATAAATCCCTCCCCCCTTCCCCCCGAGAGTCCAGTACGGACGATGAGGATCGCTGTATGGCATCCGTATAGACAGTTCGTTGACTAATCTATTCTCAATTTATTTCGTGATGCTACAGTGCCATCCATCGCACTGGCAGACATCCATCATCATAGATATCAGGCATGGAGGAAGAGTCCATGCTTGTCCCATTCATGGGCCATGGTGGATATATTCATCCCCAAAACAGGCCATACCAGGGGAGTGGCAAAAGAAATTGCTGCGGCCTCCTACACGGACGGGATAAATATCGGTCTATCGTCTCGGGTATTTCTCTTTTTGGCAACACCGAAGACCTGTCATGCTATCTGAGATCGTCTCGAGTCTAAAGAAAATTGGCTCGGAATGTTCGCCCAATCCCTGCTCCTTGTGGTCTATGTCGACCGGAAGTACTGTTACCCTGGCCCAGAGGTGCCCATCACGATGCTAACAAACCAGAGGTAGGCCATTCGTGCAGCAGTTTGACTGCAGTATCACCGTAATTTTCACATTTTCATCGAGCGTTCCAGCACATATCGCCACGAGACTTTGAGAGGTACCTTCACCGAGCCACATGCCGATCTCCGTTTTCCAGCCGACACCGCGAGACCTGGGCACCATGCTAGAAAACGGGGATGTGTTAGTTGTCAACGACCTCGTTCCGCTGGGTCTGCGCAGGAGTATTTCTGGTGGAGACGGGAGCCAGGCAACAGAGAATGCGTATTTATATTGTCATGTAAATTTCAACAGCTTTACCCTGTGGGTGACTTCCTTTACATAGATCGTCTCCAACACGAACAGGAACAGAAGGCACAACGCGAAAAAGGCGCACGTACGAGTGGGTACCGGGAGATGGATGGAGAGTTAGGTTCAAGAACGACTCCACAGATCCATATCTACATCCCCGCCCCGATGCCGACGAGACTCGGACATAAGGGAACACCGAGCAAGTGCATCACTTAGAAGTTCTATAAGAAGGCTTCATGCATCACCGTTACTCTGATGCTACCATCATTACGTTTTTCGGACCTCCGTTGCTACCCACACCATGACGAAGCCAGCGATTGGAAAATATCTATTTACTGGAGGCTATGTGGCGACCATGGATGGTTCGCTGAGCGAGTTCGACCGTGGTGCCGTGTTGGTTGAGGACGGTGTGATCACCGCCGTGGGAAGGGCTGACGAGTTCTCAGCCTCAGAGTGTGAAGTCATCGATACCAGCGGTGGCGTGGTCGTTCCGGGATTCGTGGATACCCATCGCCATACGAGCTTGTCGCTATTTCGCGGGATTGCGGCAGATCACTCGTTAGTCCGCTTCTTGCCGAACTGCTATTTGCGATGGCTACCAGCCGTCGACGCGGAGGATATATACACAGCTTCCTTGGTCAGCGCGCTCGAGGCAATCGATAGCGGCGTCACCACACTTCTGGATTGTGTCGAAGCACCGAGTTCGAGACAGCATGCGGAAGCCAATTTACAGGCTTTAAAGGACTCGGGCATTCGTGCTTTCTACTGCTACGGGATGAGTGATGGCGAGTACGAAGGGTCGGAGAATGGCCTCTCCGGCTGGAAGGCCCGCCTAGCCCATCTAGAGGACCTCTACCGCTTCAAGAACGAGCACCACTTAGTTCGTGTGGGTTTGCAAACCAGCCATCCGGGGCTGGTCCCCTTTAACCAGATGGAGAGAGAGATCCGGTTTGCTCAGGAGCATGGAATGCTGTGTTGCTCTCACACCGCTCCATTCATGCACACCGGCCTGCATAATGGCATTCAGGAGCTCGCTGACCGGGGACTCTTGCTCCCTGGTCACGTCCATATTCACTGCACGAGTCTGAACCATCATGAAATGGGGCTGCTTGCAACCTCCGGTGGTAAAGTGTCCATTGCCACGGAGACAGAGATGCAAATGGGCATGGGTATCCCCCCAATCCGGGCGTGCATTGAACATGGCATTAAACCCACCTTGAGTATCGACACGACCAGCATTGTCGCACCCGACTATCTCGCCCAGATGCGTCTAGCGCTTCAGATGCAGCGGTTGCTTGATAACCATACGGTCCATGCCTCCCGCAAGGTCCCGACGCAACTCGACCTCGGAGTGCGCGATGTCTTGACCTGGGCCACTCGGAATGGTGCTGACGCTGTCGGAATGGCAGACCGAATCGGCACTTTGACCCCTGGCAAGCGGGCCGATCTCGTCTTTATCTCGTCGCAACGGTTTCTTAGTACGTCCGCATCCCCTCTGGGGACAGCCATTCTACACTCCACTCCAGCCGATGTCCATACCGTCATGGTCGACGGGGTGATTCGAAAGCGTGACGGCCAGCTAGTCGGTTACGACCTCGACAGTATCCGCGCTAATGCAAATACTGCATTGCGACGTACCATGGCTAATTTACGGAATTTCCGTCCCGAGATGACTGAAAAGGAACTGGACCAGTTTCTTCTCGATGCTGAACGCTTGACACGGGCGAACCTGGCCAAAGCCTATGGGGGCCCGGTAGACAGTTGCTGGACGTCGAGCGTTCCTTGACCTAGAGTATGCATAGGGTCAGGTTCAGGTTCTGCATTAATAACGTTGACCCTATACTCCGCATCCGGGCCCGCTGATTGGTCCGATTCTGGTGTTCCCGCGTGCCCCGCCGCCCAAAGTGCGTGGCAATATATCCGCTGACCAGTTATATCTTATCGTCGGCGGCACACATCTCTGTCAGATAAGATAACTAGGTTTTATTCAGATATATATATACTGTAAATAAATTCGAATATATTTTCTTTCTCTTTTTTCTCTTCTCTCCCTCTCCTTTTTCAGGAGAATTGCTCTGTAGTATAAGGGGCAGGTTCAGGACAGATTTCCACTACCCAATGATATTTAAATATCTTGCTTCCTGAGCTACAGGATAGAAATAGGACTTGTATTCATAGATTTTCAATCTGCTTATTTTTGTTGAATTGATATTGAGATTTAAGATTGACAGTTTCGGAAATAGATAGTAATCAAAAAGACTAGCGGGATCATGGGTTCCCATATTCCGGACCGCAACTTTTGCACTAATATGTACTCACTCAATTGCATTCCGGTTGCTCGCCAAAACCATGTGCCTACTTTTTCTTTTTCCAAAATCTCCCTGATATCAATCACGCCGCCATGGGCGATACAGTCCGAACCGACGTTCTAATCGTCGGGGCAGGTCCGTTCGGGTATGTTGCTCTATCAAATCCCTTCTTCCTTTCCGAAGCTAAATATATAACGGCATGGACTGGAGAGTCGAACGCTAGACATCCTGGATAATTTCGGCCTGGCGGACAAAGTCTGGGCTCAAGCAAACCACACCGTGGAGATTGCATTATGGGTACGGCCCTCCCAAGCTCTTTGATAGCAATTCCACTGACTCAACCTCTGTCGTGTCCAGGGCTCCACAGCCGATGGCAAGCTGCCAAGGCAGCGTCACCGCGAATTCTAGGCCTGGATGGTCCCGGTTCCATGAATCCACGCTCAGCCAAGGTCAAATAGAAGTATATCTCATGGAATATGTGCGGGCTAGAAAGCACGTTGAAATGAAGCGGGAAACAATTCCCACCTCGTTCGAGATCGATTACATGATGATCGACGATCACGATACGTTTCCGATCCGTGTCAATCTGGAGAATGTGTCATCCGACCCAAAGAATCCCTTTGATGGCGTGGTTACTCCGAGCAGTGAGCTCAGCGAGGCTCAATCGGATGACTCGGGATACGCAGTAATGGGGACAACGGTTGAAGCCAAGTATATTCTCGGCTGCGATGGAGCTCATAGCTGGCTCAGGAAGCAGCTCGGGCTAAGTCTTGAGGGCGAAAGTTACAACGATTCTTGGGGTGTTTTGGATATTATCCCCTTTACTGATTTTCGTAAGCTCAGCTGGATAAACTATCGCCGTTGACATTGCTAATCCAAGCTGGTCGTCCAGCCGACATCCGAAAACGTTCCATTATCAAGTCAAAACATGGGACTCTGATGATGATTCCACCCGAAGCAGCCGACAGGTATCGCGCAATGCCAACGTCCTCACGGAGCAGGTCGCGACTATCATGCAACCGTATACTATGAGGACAAGTCACATTGACTGGTCGACCATATATACCGTCATCTCACCCCTTCCTTTTCTCCTTTGACGCTGTACCTGAAACACCCAAGTTAACAACAACCAGGTCGGCCAACACATCTGCCGAAAGATTGGTCTACATAACCGCATATTCCTTGCCGGAGAGACTATCCACACTCATTCCCCAGAGGCAGGACAAGGAATAAACATCAGCATACAAAACATATTTGATCTCAGCTGGAAAATCGCATCTGTTGTCAAGAATATATTGCACTCACGTGTTCTCGAGATATATCAACAAAAACAGTTGCCGTTGCTGGAAAACTGATTGTATTAAACGAGCGAATCTGTCAAAAAATATATAATCAGCGGAGCGGGCATTCAGAAATATAATATAGCCACTTTAACAAAGACCACAAATGGGCGCTTAAAAAAAAAGAATTTCTCTCTATCGGGAACTTGAGCGCAAAGGCGTTGATGTTGGTGTCGGAGTCCAGTTTATGCAGCAGCTTCATTGCCTCAGCGTCCTGCAGGGGTTCACTGTTAGGTTTACCGAGAATGAGCCTTCTAATTTCTTCGTGACCATCTTCGGCTTTTGGGGAATTAAATGCGTGTCCACGTCTCTCCTGCGGCAGTCTGTTGAACGGGACACAAATGAAGCTATCCCGCCTTTCTGCTCTGAAGTCTGCCTGAACACCATAGCGCACCGATAACTGTGAAGGTATCAGCAGCTATCAATTTTTCGCACAATGAAGGATCTACCCTGGAACTAGTGAAGGATGCTTGACCAAGTAGCTTTCTGTATCCATCCGGATCCAGACCAATAGTCTGGTTGGAGAGCCAGGTTGACATGGCAGCAGCTCCGGGTTTGCTGCAGAACACATGATTAGGAATGACTCAAAATCGGAAATAGCCATATGAACTCATCTTCCCTCTACATCATAGACACCGATATCCTCTGAAGATCCCTGAGACAGATAGGGACTGGACCATGTCACCAAGTACCTCATCCGGCCGTCTTTGTACACCAGACTTCCTGCTGGGTACGGAACATAACCGGCCTTGTGCGGGTCAACGGTGATAGAATCCGCATTCTGGAGCTCCAGAAGATCGTCTTCCGTTTCCCTTCGCAGGGTTAAGGCCGGCACAGAATCTTTGTCGGAATCGCCCAGCGTAGGCCTTCCCCTCTCAAGATCCTGGTGTAGCATGGTGGCAAAGCAGCCTCCCCAGGCAGCGTCAGCATGGACGAGGAAGGAAAGACCCTCTTTCTGCCATTTCTCTCTGACCTTGAGGATCTCCGATAGTCGGTCGACAGCTCCTTTTTCGGTAGAGCCAATGATGGCCACAACCGCATACACAGGAGTCTGGCTCTCTTTGCATTTCTTCAGTTTGTCGTCTAGCTCCTTAATATCAATGTGGACGTCGTCGTCGACATCGACTTCCAGAAGATTTGCAGAGCCCAGTCCGGAAGTTGCTGCCACAATTAGTTTTGCGTTCTTTGGTGACGCACATATTCGAGAAATTACATACCAAGTCCCTTCGGCCAGGAGTAATGACGAGTCTTTGACAGAATGAACTTCGTCGGCTTAAGGCTCTTGTAAAATTCGTCGGTCTTCTCGGGAACCAGACCAGATGACTGAATATTGTACGGGTCAAAGGCATCCTTCAGGAAGTCACTCGAAATGTCGTACTGTTCGTACAGCAGATTTGGCAGATCAAGGACAGTCTTGGGCTTTAGGTTGAGCAAATCCCAGGTTTCCAGAGTTGCGGACCTCTTTTTTCCATCTTTACAGGTTTCCACCTCGAATTTGCCCTTGATGATCTGAAGATTTTCCTCATTGATAGCCTGATGAAGAGCCAAAGGGTAAAACTTCAGGTATTGTGCTAGTTGCAGACTTAGCATTTGCTCTGCAAGACTCCAGAAGGAAAATATGTACCAACCCAGATGGATTCCAAATTTGCCACAGTACCATCGCAGGTAATATGGCCCCATGACAATGGCTCTTCATCCATCGTTCCGGCAGGAGTGCGAGGAGTCCTGTACCCGAACATCTCGCAAAGTTGCTCTCAGGCCTTCAGTTCCGCGACGTTGGTCAGAGGACTGGCTTCGAGGGCAACATTGTTGGGATTGTACAACATCGTCATGAAGTATCCCAACAGAGAAGGCATGGTCAAGTCAGTTCACATGTGGGCTTCACAGCGCGGAGACCAGAAAGGCACCGAGTGCTCTCCCAGCAACTGCGCAACCTTTCGAACGACATCACCAAAGTTGTCCCTGACCTTTTGGAATGCCTTTTGACTTTCGGGCTTCTTTCGTGATGAATTTTTGATCCTTTGAGCGTCAGTCCAGTGCATATATCAGAGGGAGGTGGGAAGTGAAGTACATTATCCTCGTGGTAATAATCTAGTCTGGTTTCGAGCAGTTCATCTAGGATGGTGTTGATGTTTGCTCTGAAATCAGGCATGTTGGAAGCCCGTGGGCCGATGAAGTAATTGTTAATGACATTTTGGTCGGTGATTCCGACTTCAGCGGGCCCAGGATGGGCTTGGGTAGTCATAATGGATGAGCTTCTTTCCTTTTTGGGCTTTCTCAGCTCTGGAATGAAATTGAAAATGGGAAGGAAGATTGGAATCGAGGGGGTTTTTATAATATTATTCCGAATATTCGATGGCTCCAAACCTGTTCAGCTCAATTTGCTCTACTTCAGCTTGTTTCATTTCGGCTCACCTCGTATTGTCTATCAGGATTTCATCCTTGTCTGGTGTGCTTGACGTGCGTGCGATTTGACACCTCGTTGGTCTCTCCTCCCGCGACCCAGCTTATCGTGGCGTGAGAATGTGGATAGCCTAACCATTATCCTTGAACTTCCATCTGAATCACTTCTGTTGGGGCTGCAGATCATATCACCCCTCTTCGCTCTACCAAGGTTGCGCTGTTGTCCATTAGCATCACACCCCTGTACTACATACCATATATCCATAGCTACAGATCTGTAATGCTATACAATCTAAGTATCTACAATATACACATTCTATGAACTCAAAAACACCCTTTGAAACTCATAAAAGTCCCTCTTCCTATGAAAATACCCAACCTGAATCATACGTGAATGGCTCACACAAGGATGGGCACACCGTGGCTGGCTGACAGAACAACGATTGTTACTATATACTTTTATAGATGCATACGCAAAAGTCTCCACACCAGATGACACGATATATCTGACTGGTTCGTTGATCCGGCTTAGATCGGATCTCGACCTGACTGGCCCAGAAACTACTCACGTTCTTGCATGACGTCGTCATATTTTGATGGGTTGTTTTGTATTTCTGCAGGATTGAGTGGAGATTGAGGGGGGTTTCTGCTCAGCTCACCTCTATCTGCTGGATTCGACTGTTACATGTCATATATGTAGCTATCCCCTCTATTCAGCTTGTCGTGAGGCGGGATATGATCATAACTATCACGCTGCAAGGCGAATCCCTCACTTACTCCGCTATTGTAGCACCCCGCCAATATGGCTGATTTTTATATTCTCCGAAAGCCCCACAATAGCAATAAACCATCTCATTCCATGAGGTTTGATGGACTGTTTTGATCTTAGGATTGTCGGATGATTCTCTGTTAGTTTTGGTTGTCGCCTGTGGAAAGTCAATGCTCTGCCACATTTTTTGATTCTATTTCAAGTAACGTAACTGTATTCAAGTACTCGCAGAGTACCTTTTCAGATACTGAAGAATGTTAGTTAAAATGTAGTCATGGCTATTTGGCAGGATTGGGGAGTTACTTGGATCGACAAATTATTTGTAGATTGATCCCGTTTTCTAAACCAGTTGCATTGTTGCCCGTCTGAAGTGTTGTGTGAGATAGCATCGTGTCGCCCGCCAGTCAACTTGCTGTGTGGATCGTGACTTGAGATATTATACTGCATGTTATTCGACTTGTGCGTTTCTTAACAATAAATAGACAGAACTTCCAAATCTATTGAAAAAGACCCACCCCTTCTAGATTAGGGTTAAGCCCGTAGTGCGTAGTTCAACGTGCCTCTAGTAACCGGAGAGTGCTTTCCATAGGGCAGTGCTGCTCAGAGCAGCTCTCTTGTAAAACCACGATCACATCTAGGTCTAAAGATAATATGCAGTTTATACATTTTGACCGCCTCCATACCACAGGGGGCCTCTCCGTATCACAAGTCCCTGATCCTGTCCAACAACCCATTCACCTTCTTTCGGATAGCTACCGTCAGCCCCTGGCCAATACTGGCTCGCCAAGGTTTCGTTGATATGATCAATTTTATCAACCAGCACTTTGACTCGAGAAGGATCGATCGCTTCTCCACCTTCTGCTTGATTAACAAGAAATCCGTCATGATTGATGAATCGTGCGATAGTAACGTGAGCTGACGGAACAATATACCGTGAAGCAACAGGGAGAGCAGTTTGCCGAACCAAGTCGAAAATGTCCCGACGAAGGTGATGATATGTGTACTGATCACCATGGCCCTCAGGACCCTCGGCTGGGCCTTCGTGTGCAGCGGGAACGAAGCTAAGAGCAATTGCCGCAGAGTCAAAGCTCACCATTGGCTTCAAAAGCCGGGTTTGATGTTTGAGGGGATACCCTGAGATGTCCACCTCGGTGACATTCTTCGATGACTTCAAGGTTTGGACAAGCTCTTCAATCTGGACTTCTGTCAAAGAATGGGCCACTTCCAGTACGGTCGTGTGGAGATTTTCGGGCGGCATCAGCCAAATTGCTATTTACGTTGAGTTAGTGGGTGCACTTTGACTGAGATTTGAGAAAAGTCCGCAATCTTCTTACATGGAGCAACATCTTTCAATTTGCTTTGGACAAAGGCGATCAAGTCTCGGATATGAGGAGGGGGTCTAGCCCAGATGACGAGACAGTTGCGAGGATCAAGATAGCCTTCTTCTTTGGCAGGGCCATCAAGCCGGCGCAGGACCTCATCTAAAGACCAGCCTGGGAAGTCTTCTGCCAGAATCTTTGCCCTCTGCTGTGCATTCCGATTCGTGCGATGGGTTTCGTAACATGATTGCAATTGAGTCTTTTTTCAGTCTGAGTTAGTTTACAACTCGCTGACAGTCACGCCATAGGTATTCTCGGGTGGCTTCAGAATCAAAGAGATAAGTTACCGGATCATCGTTTGACTCTGCAATCAATATCTGAAAGGGATTGTCTTCTGAGATCGACAAAGTAGTCATTCTGGCCCCGAACACTCGTCTGTATGTCTTTGGCATGGCTTGAGTATTCTGGTACCTGAAGATATATTATACTTCTGAACCTCTGATGCCAAGCCTAATTTCCCAATACGTGCAAGCTGACTCACAATGCGGGTCTCAACCACTACGAATCTTCGGCTAAAGGGTCAAAAATAGTCTACATAGCCACCCCCTAACTTAGCGGGTGTGCTTACCAATATTGCACCAAAGTGTACATTATAGGGCGGGTCGGTTGCAGATTCCACTTTGACAGAACCCCGCGGGGTGTACCATATCATTTATATAACGATAAAATCTGTAAACTTCACGCTCGGTATAATAGTTCAATTGCAGTTACTCTCAGTTCACGCCGGACGGCTCAATACTATTTTCACACTAAGGCCTTTGCAGCAGGGTGACAGAGCAATTATTATATGTTTACTGGGCAATCAGATTTCAAGAACAACTGTATCAGGAGGATATTAATAATAAATACTACCAACCTATCTTGTCTCATATAGATGACCAAGTCCCCCTCTGGTCCTAATATAGTGGCATGGGGTCCCCGCCGCAACCGCCCCGAACCCGCTAAAGATCAAATAAAACTCTAGTCCAGAAGGGGTGTCAACTGATAGATCCGTGTTCTGATAGTGGGGCGGCCCGCCTATAGTAAATCAATTAAAATTTTCTATCTAGTATTATCTAGATTTTTATACTTCAGTTATAGATTATAATTATCTCTACTAGATAGAATTATATAAAATTTATCTAGATAAAAATATAGAATTTAAATTAATTTTTAATCTATTCTAGAATTGGAAACTCGATAATTTATAATTATTAAAATCAATTGAAATTAACTAATTTATAGTATAGTAGATTTAGTTAAAATAGCCATAAATTAATAGAATTTTTTAATTACTTAGAGTTTTTTAGTCTGCGATATCTATTATATATATTTAAAATATGGATTTATTGTAAGGGCTCCTTCGGAGCTAGTGGCCAACGGCTACGAGAGGTGCAATACTAGGAGGATTAAATATATTTAGATTACTAGGAAACTTATATATAAATTAAAATAGAATAAATTATTTAAAAATAAAAATCCTCTACGCGATTATTTAATTTTATATAATATATTAAACCGCTATTAAACTACCAGCGCTTCGCTAATAGCAGAGTTAATAATTATCTAAAGCAATTAGAAAGAGTCGTTACCTAAGGTAATTGCTATTATAACTATTCTCTTCTTAAAAAAATAAATTATCTTAGTTTATATTTAAATTATTAAATATATAATATTTTAATTAGTAAATTATACTATATTTTAAATATAATCTATTTAAATCGTTTAATAATAGAATCATAATTATTTAAAAATTACTTTAATATTAATTTAAATAGATAGAATATAAATTATATATTTTTAATATAATATTAAAATATCTTTATTTATATAAATTATAATA